CTCTCGATCCGAATGGAATCCAGCGTTTCCATACGTCACGCACGGACTCGCTTCCGCTATCGATGACGTTCGCGTCATACAACGAAATGCTATTACACGTTTTGCGTTCCGCTCGTAAACGCGTCCGCGCGATTCTGCATCACTCGATTCGAGGGACCGTTTAACCAAACCGGGGATGACTGGGAGCTCGGGACTTACGCTTAATCGCGTTCCCGATACCGCGAGCTAAGGTCGAGCAATTAACCCGCGCGTGTCTCGAGATAATGAGCAGATCGATAAACAATGCGCCGAGCAGCGTGACCAAATTTTCTCTGACAACAACTAGTATGGAATTCCCGATACGACTCAAACGTCGGAGTGGGTGAAACTCGCGCAATTTATGCTCGCAGATAAAATCACTTTTGAAAGGAATGGTAAAAGGAAGTAGATATGTACCTCCTCGAGGAGCCATTGTACCTCGAAGGGAAACACTTTGTCAGAGATATCTCAGAGGAACACGGGGTGCGTCATTATGCGAAGGTATCGATCTCCCATCTCCATTCTTCAAACTGCGAGGAGCTATCAAGCTTTATCTTCCGTCTTCTATGTATATCATTGCTATTGTACAGGAGGGATCAAGGGAGGCCCTTGCGAAGTCGTTATAAGACTTTAAACCGTTTTATGCCTACGCTCATTATTATTGGCGTTATTATACTGTCGATTCGCCGTTCGTCGCTTGCGGTCATTCACGCGCTTCGATCGAACGGACTGGGACCGTTCCGAGGAATGATGATCGATGATTGCCTCTTCCTTAGGACTTTTATCCTCCTTGAACGACTCGCAAACGACGAACGGACGAACAACGTGTTAATTGTTGATGTACGATCTCGTTGAGAACCCCTTAAGGATGAAAACTGAGAAGCCAAAGAGCCATGTGAGAATCTGAATGTACGACTGCGTTTGCCTTCGATGCAACGAGCAACCTCCGATGTCACTGAGAAATGCAGACCGCGGATTTTACGTATTCGCAGAATCTTATAAAATTTCGATGAATCCTCAGAACGTCTACGATCATGAATTGCATTTACACATGCCATTAATTTCAAACGTTAATGCGAGTCTTAATTCATCTTCTAAAATGATATCACGTTTTATTTTGCACGAAAGTCTGCGGTCTAGTCGTACGAAATCGAGAAAAATATTTGAACAAACGAGAACATACAGAAATCGGAGATTCCGTGAGTAATCTCGTTGCTCGATCGCAGCCGCGCCGGAAGCGCGTGCCGGAACAGCATCGAACACGCGAACGACTAAGAATCAATTAATTGTAATTGAGTCGAAAGTGCAAAATATACAGACATTAAATGTTATTTACACCAGCGAACAGTTCATTTGGATACACTGACTCGATATCCCAGTCCCCGGCCTCAAAGCCACCGAGCTTAATTGCTTCCCGAAATGCGAAATCGAACGGCTGCATCCGTCGCCGCTCCGTTCTGCTACCAATTTCGACAAGGAAACTTTCCCAACTCCGAACTACTCGCGTCGGGAAACGCGCTCAATCATTCAGCCAATTGCATTTTTAATAACGTTTACTTCCGCGGCTAAGTGACCTGATCCGCGGTCAGATACTTGCTAATAATTCACTCCTGGGTTCTAATAAATTCAACATTTCTCATCGTCATTTATCTCTCCTCACATTTTTCGTAATCATATTGTCGACCTTCTTTAACAACTGATAAAGAAAACCCAATTACGCTCTCGAGACTGAACTTTCAAATTAAAGTTCCGTCTACAAATTGAAATAATGGAATAAAAAAACTCGAGTATAAAATTTCAAAGAAATTTAAATTGCGTTACTCCAGTCTAACAGCTTGCTTGCTACGCCTGTCCGCGCGCTTTGAAAAGTGTTTAAAAGTTATCCGAAAACAAGGTAATTACAAATTAAGTACTTGTACGACCGCGGGGGTGGTAATTGTTTTCGAGAGAAGCTCGATTGGCTTCGAAATGGCTCTATTGTGTCGGCGAGAACAATGGATCCTACCCGCTGAATCGTTCATTTATCTGATATAATATGTAGCAAGGTTTTAGAGGGTGTCGACACGATTCACCTATTATACCGCGAGAACCGTCCGCTCGATAAATAATAGCGAGCGTCTTGAAAAGGACGGTAACGAGGCTCAGAATTTCGCCGTTTTATCGTTAAGTAGTTTCCTGTGTCGCACGAATTACGCGCGTGATATCGATCAGCCTTTTCGGTTATTACGAAATCATTTATTTTTGTTTCAAACGAGAAAGCTACGTGGAAAATTGCGTAATCGATATTTCTTTCGACCGAGGGACTTCAGTAACAAGTCATACAATACACAAGGATCATATAAAAACGTTTGAAAAATGGAAACAGCTTCGCACATTCAATTGCTTTCTGAACGTTGAAACTTGATATCTCTCGATTTACTGTTATTTTGTTATAGGTTTCGACCGACAATTTTTTACCCGTACTAGAGTTCCATTCAATTTGAATTTCAACTGGGATAACTTTTTGCACGTGAAAATCGAACAGAACAAATTCTTGCTAAATGAACCAAGAACCAATCTATTTCCTTTTTAGCTCGTTTTGATACGTTCAATTGGAATCAACAGCCGGCGATCTCTTTTATTCGGAGAGAATCGTAAATATTAATTTCGTAAAAAGTCGCGGCCATCGAGAGGATCGATCGACCGTGAAGAACCGGCGGAAAATTAATTTCCCATCACCCGACAAGTTCCCCGACTGCGCCCAGATAGTTGATCGGTTTTCATTAACAAGTTCACCGAGATAATGCATTCCCTAATGAAATTCGCCGCTAACGAGCATAATTCGGGTACACCGCTCCATTCAATTTATTATAATACATATTTTCATCAGGCGAACGCGACGTGTTTTCATTTTTTCATTTAATCAATTAGCAGACGCATCGAAAAATGTTGATAAACCGGATAATTGTCTTTTTTAATTAAAGGTCGAAACGTGAGGAGATATCGAACAAAGAAAGCAGATATAACATGTTTTCCAAGTGACCAGATAAAATGCAAATTAACCCTTGACACAAATATTGCCATAATTAATGTTTCTTCTCAACAACATTCTGCTATCAAAGTATCCACCATTAATTTAATCATTTCACGCAAATTACGAGACGAACAACTGCTCAAGTTTGAATAGCAAGTGCATACTCCAAATACAAATTCCGCATTCGTGAAAATGTAATCAGCGGATTGTAGATTTCATGCATTTGTAAAAAATTAAGTATCCACGAGATTAAAACAGTGCGTGCGGTGCATAAAAATATAGAAATATCAATGCATACTCCAATATTTAACCCTTTGCACTCGCACGTGACAAGACATATTTAAATTTGAAATAAGTCAAGAATTAAATAATGAAAGAAATTCATTCGTTCGCCTGATTCCACAGTTTATAAAAATTCATGATTTCATCCATCGATAAATAAAATGAATCCCGTCTACAATGATGGACGCGAAACGAGATAAATTAATCTGTTGAGTCAATGTTATATAACGGTTTGCAGATCGCACAATTACTTTTCGTTTCTCGCTGTCAGAAGACGAATGACGTATCCTTCCCCCCATGAACATTACAGAGACGAATAGGTCTGTCTCTGAATGGAGAATTGTCCTGGAGAACAACGCTGTCCTACGAGAATGCGGGATCCCATTGTCGCTCTAATTACATTGGATTATAATTGCTTAAACGTGAGCACGGGGAGCACTCGTGTAGATAAACAAAATTGGAATTGGGAACCTATCCTCATAAGGTAAGTACGTACATATTACTTTGGGCTTTTGGATTCCCATGAACCGAGATGAGAATTTATTGCATTTGCAAAGTCATTAATTCATTGATGAACATTATAATAAGTGATTAACCAGATTAGCGTTCCCGAGTTTCTCGCGAATTACAGGATCGATTATTTTGCAATTTGCCATGGCTCGGCCGTAAAACAGTGCGAATAAATTTCTCGCGGCTAAACCGAACGGTACGGGGAATTGTAAGAGGCTTACGCGGTGAGTTACGCGCAGCAATAAGGCATATTCCGGGGCAGGAGTAGCGAGGAAGGTTTGTACGAAAGGGTAAACCGCGGAGATGAGTTATCGTCAGACGAAAATCGCGATGAGTTGAAATACGAACAGAGCTGGATTTTGCAAACAATGCTTCTTTATGCTGTGTAAAAAACCACGTCTTTTCTTAGCAAGAAAAATTCTGAGGGACCTTCGAGAGCTTAAAAATGTATAACTGTTGCTCTTTTGATTCGGTATTTTATCGTTAATGAAAGAAAAATGAATGCGCGTATATTCGTATGCACAGCTGAACCTCTACCGCACTCTACGTGCTGTACGCCTGCTAAATCATTGCTTCTAATATCTGAATTACGTGTCGGGCATATCTCTCGCGTTTCACGCGCGTTACATTTCAAAACATGGAAATGTATCCGGCACACGATCGAGTCCCTTTTATAACGTGACTAACCGGCCTTACTAGATTTTCCTTTTCCTTGGTCAAACAAAAAGTTATCGCGATCAGAAATTAAAAGGAACGTTACTATTCTGGTCGAGCGTAAACAATGGTGCGGTTCCAGCGTCTTGTGGAGCAAGGAACTGGCACGATAAGGACGCGAGAATCACCGTGATAACGTGATAACCGATAAAGCGATAACCCGATTTCTGCCAAAAATCTATTGTATATATATACACGCGGCAGGATAAGATCGCAGATTCGAGTGACTAGCTATCGACGATCAACAGCATGGGGAAGCTACGTGCGGTTTTGCTGCTCGTGGGTCTTTTCACGGTAACGTGTCGCTGCGAGTTGACTAAGAAAGAATGGTGGGAAACCGCGTTGGTCTATCAAATTTGGCCGAGGGGATTCCAAGACAGCGATGATTTATTCTTAGCATTGTTCTTTCGACGTCTGATTTCTTTTTAATTACAGGAAATGCGTTTTTCTAAGGTACATAAACCTTTGGGATTGACTGTATAGCCAATACATCCTTAATATGAAAACCAAACAAAGTATGTACGGTGTGCGGTCGATGGAATTTTTTATTGGATTCTTTCTTCGCGGATTGATTTATCGCTCGTTGGTCAAGGTACCAACCGAAGTTACTTCAGATACCGTTAGAGATAACATCGATACATTATCGTGCGGTGAATAATTGCTATTTAATTACAGGCGTGGAATTTTTGCAATAATTCCCGAATCATGAATTTCAAGTACGATTTGTATTTCGAATAAAAGACTTGGAATTATCGTGTTGATTCGCCGTCAGTAAACTAGATGTCTGATGCAGGTATAATCAGTCGACTGGACTATTTGCAAGATCTTGGGATCGACGCGATTTTGCTGGCTCCCATTTATGCCTCACCGCTGATAGATTCCGGTTACGATATTTCCAATTATACGAGCATCAATCCTCTGCTGGGTAATTTGCAGGATTTCGACGAACTTATAGAAGAAGCACACAAGAGACGTATGTTGTAACAATCATTAATTTTTATGCAACCGTAGCATTCACGGTGAACCTTGAACGTTTCAGAGCTGAAGGTAATTTTGGACGTGGTACCAAATCATACGAGTGAGAAACATGAATGGTTTCAATTGTCAAGTAGAAATATCAAACCCTACGGCGACTATTACGTTTGGTCAAGAAAGTCCACATGGAAACCACCCAACAACTGGGTAAATTGTTTACAAATGTTTGAAACCATTCGGCAAAAAATAATAATTATTTATTTTTTATTCAGGTAAGCACACATAGCGACGTGGAAGGATCTGCATGGACATGGCACAGCACAAAACGTCAGTGGTATTACCATAAATTTCACAAATCCCAGCCTGACCTCAATTTGCGAAATGAGAATGTGATACAAGAATTACTGGTAAAGCATGTCTGCATATCTACTCATTTTGTAATTCAATGAGAAATTAGCACATGCTTAACGGTTTATTTTTGTACACCAGGATGTGTTTAAATTTTGGCTAAAGAGAGATGTCGACGGCTTTAGAATTGGCGGAGTATCTTATCTGTATGAAGATGAGGATTTAAGAGACGAGCCTGCTGGGGCAAATGGGAGCTACACATCTGGATTGCCAGAGAGCACAGCTCTTGTGTACAAGTTTCGTTCGTACATTGATGATTGGGTGGCAGCAAACAATGCTACATCAAAGTAAATACACCGATGTTTCAATCTTTTCAGTAACGTACATGTTAATGTGTCATGATTATTAACTGACAGACTGTTGATCGCCGAGTCTCGTGACTCTGATGAAAAATTGATATCACTGTATGGCAATGGAACGCATAAGGGAATCGCACCTTTCAATTTCCGCTTTATTACATCTATTCGAAACACGAGTACTGCTGAACAAATTAAAAATGTTCTGGAAGGCTGGATTAAGAAGCTTCCAAACAATACAAGCACGAATTGGGTGGTAAGAAGATTTAATGACTTGCTTCTGTCGTCTTGACGACTAAGGCGATGTACTTATTTATGTAATTTTAGCTCTCCAATCATGACAATTCAAGAGCAGCCTCGAGAATCGGATTAAATCGCGTCGATGGCCTTCATATGCTTAGTCTATTATTGCCTGGCCAGGCGTACACTTACTATGGGGAAGAAATCGCGATGCTGGATAGAAAAATGTCGTGGAGCGAAACGATAGACCCTATGGGTTGCTCGAGGACGAAGGAAACTTATGCAAATTATTCTAGAGATCCTGAAAGGACGCCCATGCAATGGAATTCTAATATCTCAGCAGGATTTTCAACGAATAAAATTACGTATCTTCCTGTTCATCCGGAATACGCAAAAAGAAATATCGAAGTGCAGCGAAATCAGACACGCAGCAATTTGAATATCTACAAATCGCTCACTGCCCTTAGGAAAGATCAAATATTTACTCATGGCGATTACAAGTTCGCGGGCTTAAATAATGATCGCGTGTTCGTTATGAGAAGGTTTGTACACAATCACCTATTCAATGGACGACTGATTTCGTCATTTTTCATATTTACTCTAGATCCCTGGCAAACAATCCTATATATTATATCGTCGCTGTTAACTTGGAGCTGCGACAGGAAACTCTTAACTTGACGTCCCTGTATCGAAACGTGGAGGATTCTGCAGAAATTGTCGTCGCGTCCAGTAACGCAGTGAACATTACGTAAGAAATTTCATGACAACAGAAGATTTAGATTAAAAGTTCAAGAAGATGAGTTAATTGAATTTTGTTAGGTCTGAGAGACACTACATGCTCTCAGCAAACGCTGGATTAGTATTAAAAGTCGTAGACAAGTGCGATACCACAACTGCAAATCCGCCATCGACCACACCTGGGAAAGGTTCCGCTGGTGTTCCCACGCCAACAGTGCAACTAGTACTAACTAGCATTACTGTGATATCGCTGTATAAACTATCAACATTTTTATGAACGCTATCTCGCAGAAGGACGATTGTAAATCGCGTATTTAGATAAAAATAATTATACATAGTGTGACAAAGTATATTTGCACTCGAATGTAATTTAATTCTGTACTTTACCCATCCTACTTGCACGCGTCGAGACAGAATCCTACATAGGAAGTTTATTTTAACTAAAGAAGGCATTGGCCTCAGGTGTTGGCGTTCTTCCGATCCGTTGTAATTTATCTTAATGACAGTACAAATACTCGCGCCGTTTCAATACGTTTACGAAGCGGCGAGTGTGTTGAATGACTCATAACAAGCAACGCGGGCCCAGGTGTCGACGTGTGTCGTTCAGAAGCGAGTTGCACCTACGGAAATGTCATGCCAATAGTTATAGTCAAGTGTCAGCAATATGAGTTTGTCGTTAACCACTCCGAATAGAAACGTGCGCGGGAACGGACCAAGTGGAAGAACGTGTACTACTTCGTTTAACGATCAGAAATCGGCGCAAGCGATAATGGTGATTACCTGCAGAACTATCGCGTAAAATTCTCGACTCTACCAAGTTGAATAATGTCGGGCTGCTAACTTTAGTTCCATTCGTTTCCTTATCCGTTATGTGGGAACGGGGATACGGAAAGACGCAAATACGTCCGATCGACTGTAACGAATCGCCCACGAGATAAGAGCGAAAGACAAACAAGAATAGGGGCGGCAAAGGAAATTAAACCGCGCAACTGTTATCTATCCGCGTCCACGTTTATCGCAAACAGAAATGTCGCGCACGGTTTTATTATCCGGTTTTGTAACACCGACAATTAACGGTGAATCGCGACGTAGTCCTCTAAACGAAAGTGCTCCTTATGTGTCGGGTGACAAACGAACGTGTACAACAAACATTTTGAAAGACACATTAGTCGACCATTATGGTGGTGCGAACAAAACGAAACGGGAAGGATACAAAATCATAAATATGGTAATGGAATCTGGGGAGAACACTCACCTCCTTTGCGGCAAGTCAATGTATGAAGCCATACAGCTCGAAGGGACGAAAGGAACGCAAAAGAACCAAGGTTTGATTTTAATTTGCACCACACTCTGTCCGAGACACTTTGTGCACATAAAACGGAATACCGAACTGAATGCCGAATTTGAAAGCAACCAATCGTGTGTCACATGCTCGCGCATCATAATACATTAGATTATTAGATATGTGTATGTATATACAGATCGAAAATCGACAGCTGAAGTCGCAACGATCGGGCCCATAATCGATTAGAGATCCAGTTCGTGTTTGAAATTGAACGGCGACTGACGTATGAATTATTCTTTCAGAATCGTTAAATGACAATTTTACGTACTATGTGATTGACCCGATGTGCATGAACTTTCGTCTCTGCATATTCTGGCTGTTATGGGTTACATTAATAGTGGTACTCGCTGTATACATTTTGTATCATTGTTGCTTCCCGGAAAAACTGAATCATTACTTGGGACAAATGGTTCTCGCAAATAAAACGCACGTTGTAAGTACCGAATAAAAGTTCAAATAGTAGATTACTATTTATCTTTAAAAAGTAATCTCAGATTACATAACTGCCGTCTATTCCAGTAAATTTTGAACACGTCGAACAAAAGACTATTACTAATCTGATCCGATGCCTCGAATAATATGAATAAAAAGTCAATACAGAAGTACTTTTTGTGCTATCAGCAAGATATAATAAGATAACCAGTTAATGCCACGAGATTATAATCCCGAGCTACTATGGAATGCAGGCGTGAAGAAGTCTAGATTAGAAGCAATGTAAATATTATTTAAATGGTAGAAATTACAGCACGTTCCGTTTACGAACGAAGAAGTGATGTATCGTAAAACGATGCGTACGAAAATTTTTTGTAACGTCCGCAAGAATTTATTTAATAAATACAGTGATTGCTCAAAGAATGCCTGACCAATAAAGAATCGTGCACGCTACTCCTTCCCTTTTGCCACTGAACGATTGAATCGTAATTTAGAGCATTTACATCAGTTCTGGGGCTATCGAGTTACAGAACCCTAGGCAAACCAGATTATCAGTGATTTAGCGATTGTATTCAGTGGTTTGATTGTCCTTTCACCCAAGAGATAAAAGATTTAGGAACCACCCAGTTGTCCTGGCATCTGTTTAAGGTGACTAATTATTAAATTATGATACTATCTATATTGACGTTGAGCAATAAAGCTACCGAACCTTTCGGGAACAAGGGTCGTCCCTGATTTTACTTTGTCCGTACGTCTGTGGTAGTAAAAGTAAATAGGTCCAGGGACAAAAAGGGGAGCGAGAACCAACCAGATATCTCGTCGGGGTAAAACGTAAAACGTGTTTCGTCCAGTCGTTTTCGAACCAGGAACAGTAGTTTAACGGTTTAACGGTGGTTGAACGCAGTTAAACGGTGAAATCGATCGCGAAGGGACGATACGAATTTCGCGCATCCCGCTAAAATTGTATCATTTGGAAGCAACGTCCTTGGTTTCCGTGTACGATGGAGAGTGGGAGGTTGGATTTAGATAGCATCGAGGCGAACGGCAACGTGAAGGAAACGGCAGTTGCCACGTACAAGCCGCTGCCGGACGCCGATACCATCAAGTCGGATAAAACTGAGAAGGCCGCTATGGGGAAACCAAACAACGAGAATGAAATTGACGATGGGGTCCACGAGAAGATGCTCAACGATGAGAATAAGGTGTCTCCCACGAAAGATGCCACCGAGGTATAATTGAAACGTCTTTCTGTAGACACGCCTTGCCCCTTGTGCGATCAATAAGATGCTTTTCTTCTCCACAAGATCATATTACTCCTATTATTAGTCTATTATGCGCGATTAATACGTCTTTGCCCCTTGCACTTATGAGCACTTTGCAATAATAATCTTTTGTTCTCGTATGAATGACGATCGATCTATTTCCGAGCAACTTACTTCTTTTTTTGGCTACCCTATCTTAAAGAAACAGCTTCCCATTGTTGCGTCATCATGAAATCATAGGGAAAACCGTCAAAGTGAGGGAATAACCATTATTCATTGAACGTTTACATGCCCGCATTAATTATTTCAAATTTTAAATAGGTGATATTCATTTCCGAGAATGGAGATACCAAGATCGATATTGAAAAGGTCAAGCAAGCTCTTTCTGGGATGGGAAAGGAAGAGCTGATGAAATTTGCCAACGATCCCTTCTGGATTCGACTGAGATGGTTTTTGTTTATCGCTTTTTGGCTTCTCTGGGCTGCTATGCTTGGTGGTGCTATAGCTATCGTGGTAATGGCACCAAAGTGTGCTGCTCCTAAGCCGAAGGAATGGTGGGAAAAGAGTCCGATTATACAATTGGACCCTCTTGAAACTAGCACTCACGACTTGAAAGGTGTCGAATCTCTGTTAGATACTTTGAAAGAACAAGGAGTGGATGCTATTTCTCTCGCATCCATAGTCGAAAGGAATCCAATAGGTACGTGTACATTTAGTATCTATTACATAATTCTATTTGCACAAGTTAATACGTTGCACTTCTTAAATATAGGGGGCACAGAAGATTTTAAGAATATTGAACCGACATTTGGAACTAGGACCGATTTCGAAGCTCTTGTGAAAGCTGCTAAAGAGAGAGAGCAGTACATCATTTTAGAATTAGACCCCAGTCACACATCGACTCAACACCCATGGTTTAAACGTTCTATACAAAAAGAGGATCCATTTACATCTTATTACGTTTGGGCTGATGGGCAAGCAACATCCGATGGTCGACCCAGTCCGCCTAACAATTGGGTAAGTTGGAGTATTTCTCGACACTGTGTAGTTTGATGTTCTTTTAACTTTTACATTTTAAATTTGCACAGCTGAGCGTGAATGGAGGGTCAGCGTGGGAATGGAATGAACAAAGAGGACAATACTATCTTCATCAGTTTAACAAGACTCAAGCTGACTTAAATTACAATAATCCAGCAGTGGTTGCAGAATTCTCTGTAAGTTCCTTCTGTGCTTCTTACTTGCATGTTAATTTAATAAAAGGCTAATTAAACATTTTTCTGTAGGACATTCTAAGTCATTGGTTGAAATTAGGCGTCAGTGGATTCCGTTTGGCCAATACTCGATACTTGACTGAAGATCCAGAACTTCATAACGAATTCAGAAGTACAATTCCTAGCGAGGCAGATAATTACGATTCACTAGTACATGCCCACACGAGGGATCGCCAGGAAAACGCTGCCATCTTGACGATATGGCAGGAAAGAGTCCGTAATGAAACGGAGAATAATGGGTTCTTTAGTCTTCAGGATGATATTGGAACCGACATTTTACAAGTCTACAATGAAAAGAAAAGACTGATCGACCTCCCGCAAAACTCGCAGTTCCTTACAACTGCGAACAGCAGCATAAACGCCACAGTTCTGCAACGTGGTATTACCCACTGGCTCAACTTCACTTCATGGCCTGCTTGGAACGTAAGTTCCGAGAGATTCAGTTCAGTATCTCATCAAGAAGTATATAAATATTTGTTATCATTATATTTTAGGTGAACGGAGACAAGCGTGATTTGAGAGCGAGAATGCCCGCAGACATAGCGGACAGTTTAACACTAATGACTCTACTTTTACCAGGAACTCCAGTGCTCAAATTAAATGATACCTTATCTGCAAAGCAGGCATTTGCAACTTTATCTAAAGCACGACAAAGTTCGACATTCCTTTACGGAGAGACGATGGTCAAGACTGTTAATGGAAGCGTACTCGTATACACAAGGTGATATGATTGTATTTGTACTTGTCATTATTAACACTTGTTAGTTTTCTATGAACACTAAACGTTTCTTCTAACTTGACAATGAAAAGTACTTGAACATCAGGTTTTGTAATTAGTATTAATTCAAGTTATCGTTATATGTTAAAGTTCAATTTAATTTTCGATTGTCATGTAGATTTTCTCAATTGTCCTTTGTCGTAACGTAGAATTTCACACAACTGACAAATGTGTACTGTATAATTGACTAACCGAAGATTAATTTGCCCTGTTGCACGCTTCCTCGTACGCAACGCAGGAGCTGGTGAGTCCGTCTACTAACATAATGCATGTTCTATTAACGATTCTAACTAACTGACAAAAATGATTAACGCAAATAACAATTTAATGAAAAGTCGATTCGTTTCATCGTTCTCTTACCAAAAGAGCAATATTGCAATGTGTAAATAAATGTCTAGGTTGAAGAGCGGCAATCCCGGCTACTTAGTAGCGTACCAGTCGGCAGAGGAGCCTACTGTGGTAGATTTCTCTACGATACCACAGATCTCGGAAGAAGTCAGCGTGGTCGCGTACAGTCCTAATTATGTACAGGACGGCGACGTAATCAGGTAACGTTATCTCGCAATTATTCTTTTCTCGTCACGTAAAAAACGACTGCTAACAATTTGTAATATCTATTTTTACAGATCGAAGTTGCCCTCGAACAGAGTTCCCATATCGTCGAAGAGTACACTTGTCCTCACGTTTGTTCCAAAATAAATGTAATTAATTTCTTGCTTATAATCTGTTGAGCAGTGGCATTTATTTCTAACATAATACTTGTGTACTGCCTTTATTGAATGTATAATTAAATGTGTGTCCAGCAAGAAATCCAGTTCTGTATTTAATAACCCAAAATTGTTTTTGAAAAATCTGATTTATTCCGATGACAGTAAACATTTATTCTATATGAAGTTTATGTGGATCCGTAAATCTAGCTGTTAGAATATAAAACAGTGCAGGTAGGGGGACTAGAGCTAACATCGCTGGATGAATGCAGAAACCACGGAAGGTCGCTGCAGCCACCAGGCCGTATCCATAGAAAAACCAGTGCCCTAATAGGACTATAGCATTCTTCATGTCCGACACGCAACTCAATAATAATGCTTTTACCGACTAGAAATATAAAAACCCGTAAGATTGGTGTATGGTATTTTGCGTTAGATGCAAATATTAACAACAGAATTACCTGATTCAATTTCAACGAGAAATGCGCTGCATTAGACAATACAGACAATATTATTGTTATATATGGAAACGAATAATCTGCAAGGAAGAACAGATTGTACAGTTGCGTTATTCTTCCCAAACGAAACTCGTATTTACTTACATATCAGACCTCCACCAACTGCGTGCAGCACTGCTAAGATGGGATAGAAATATAGTGCTGCATAAATCGAAAACACCCCTCGTTTCGGCAAAAATTTCTTAGCTACAATTGGCCTTATTAACAACATTATAGCTATTCCTAATGCATAGAAAACAAACACCATCGTGTACCTATAGATAGAAGAAATTGATTAATCTTGTAATCGACTGAAGAACCAATTGAACTAATGATAGAAGTAACCACTAACAATGGATAGACAGCTTCTTGTGTACAATGCAATGTCTCTTCATAATTTGGACTAGGATTGTGTAACAATGTATACCAGTCTGAAAGTTTTGTAGCTCTGCATGATCTGATCGAAAATGTGCCTACAGGATCAGTCAGTTGCAAAGTAATCAAAGATGCAGCGACGACTTCCAACAGAGCAGACAAGTGTAATGCGATCACTTCTTTGGGTATGGTACGTCTCATGGATACCATGTCGATACTGCACCAATGTAAATTCAATGCTAGCAATACCATGAAGCCGAGGTAGAGCCAGTCATAAAACATTGGCTCATCTTCGCATGGCACGCATATTGAAGAAGCATTTGCTCTGAATCCTCGAGAACACGCGCCACAATCACTCCAGTTGCCGTCGGGCAATAATTCTCTTCCACAATACAAACCAGGGCATCGAGTAAATAAATTTAGAGCATTCGGTTTTGATATAGAACACATGAAGAAACGGGAAGAGCAATTTGTGAGATCAATGTCAAAAATTACACGTCGATGCAAGACGGTTAAAACAGAATGAATAGCATTCGATATCGTGCAATGACATAATCCTGTAATTATTCAGACTGCCAATCTCTGTTACTTTGATTAAACAGTGTACGACTTGTAAAAACACCGGAATTTTAGAAATTTAAAGGATCATTATAACCAAGTTTGTAAACACTCCAGTTGTACGAAAAATTTCTTTCTCATCAGAATTCACTAAGTAGGACGAAATACATGGAGGTGGCACTGCGGAGAGCATAACAAAAGCGAAGAGGGGAGTAGTGATGGTAAGTAGTGGAAAGCGAGAAAAGAGGAAAAATCATTTGTTTGATCTACACGTTCAATTATTAAAAGTTTATCAATCCCCTCCTCAATCCAACAAGTGGAAAGTGCAATCGAAAACACACAGTAGAAGTAGACAGTGCACACAGTGCCGCGTTTGACAAAACGAACTTGCAATTAGCATGGTTGAAAGTAGTATAAAAAACAAACTTGATGCTTATCGACGTCAGAAACGTAAAGAAGAAATGACAGAGTTCATAAAAAATGCGATACATACTGCCGTGCCGTGGAATAGGAGTAAATCCGTCGAAGATACTCCAGAAGCAGAACCGTTAAAGTCGACAGAGGAGGTGAGGTTACTGATGACGTACACATATAGATGGCTTTAAATATTATTAATTAGACGACACGTGCGTTGAACCGTCGACAGTACGTAAAGCGGGATAGTAAATAAAATGAGAAATGATCGAAGGATAATTTATTGCAAAATTGATACAGAAGATCGGTATAATCTAAAACTGAAAGCTTGCAGGATGACCAGGATATGGAAAGCACCTGTTCAGACGATAGCGTTGACGAATTGCGATACTCAAAGATAAAAATAGTGAAATATTTCCTATACTTCCTTCTATGGGCTGTCTTATATATAATTGCAATCGAGTACGAATTTGGAGCGGTATATTTCATCCTATCTACGTTAATATTTATCGGGCTGAATACTCGATCTAGGCCGAAAAAACCGGGTGAGCTCAGTGCTTATTCTGTATTTAATCCGGACTGTAAACCGATTGAAGGAACGATCGACGCTGCACAATTCGAAAGAGAAATAAGATACGGCATAGGAAGCGTACATTATACTTGAAACTGTGGGACATTAAAACTGATCTAATTATTATCACAGGCAAAGATTACACAGTTTTTTGTACTCGCACTCGTACACGTATAAATATGTGTATCTCTGTGAAGTTTCTTGGATCGTGACTGAGAGAAATAGGAACTCGATCTAAATAAAAAATTACATTCAGCGTATGGTAAAAGTGTTAAAAAACAGTCAGTGGTAACTGTCGAAATCGTAACCACAGTCACTTGAAAAAACAATTTTATACCTATCGTCTTTTATAAGTCTATATTTTCTTGTAAAAGTTGTATAGCATTTTCATAACACTTTACCACCTCGCTAAGGTACGTTGAGCCGAGGAGATCGTGACTTGGTTTAAGGAACAGTGACCAATCGGTTTTAGATCTATGCTCTTTATCGGGGCATAGAAGAACTCTATCGAGATCCAATAATACATCGTTCAGTATTCTCGTATCGAGACTGCTGTAAGAAAGAATAAGAATAAAACCTACGTGTCCCTGAGATACATATGTACATGTATGAATATTTTTTATATTAGCAACAAAAATTACGTACTTGATGCTGTCGACTGTATCAATTTTTCTATTAAAAGTTTTAACATTGTTTAGTAATTTGTCCAACGATCGTTGTACATTTTCTGAAACGAAATTTATAGAAAAATCACATGTGTGGAAAATATAAAAAACGGAAACTGTTTTGAAGCGACCATAAATGATACAGATATGATCTCTTCTATGTAACATCGATGTATTTTATACCTTTATCTTCGCCATTGTTCACCCAGTCTAATGTTGTATAAGCAGTTTCGTTGAAATAGCTTGGATTCCATTTTATAATTAAGGATTCGGAGAGTCTCCAAATCGTTTGTCCAAGAATCTGCGCTAAAAGTATTTTCCGTGATACTCTCTCGTGCTGATGTTCGTTGTACATAACAGTATCGTTCTGAAAGTTGACAAGAAATGAGTTGCGTAGAATACTCGGGTTTAATTATGATTGCTTACCATGAAAGTCACTATCGCGTGAGGTATGTCCACGGCGAGTCGCGAGAATGAAGTGTTGTAAATAGATTTACTTAAATACAATAATTGATTATTATTATACGAGAGCCAGCCTTTTACTATACCAGCAGATTCTAGGACTATAGACTGTGCTATATCTGATCCAGACACAATCAAGGGGCCTTTACCTAGAAACAATTATTGAACCATGTTAAATATTAATAGCCGCATGCATGATTTATGCTAACAAACCTTGCAAGGCTTGATGATGCACTACAATGTAAGCCACTATCCTATGAGGCATAAAACTCGACAATTTTTCTATACAAGGATTCGAAGATCCTGAGAATAAACAGAAAACGAGAGACCTACGAGGTTTCCATCTGTTTTCCCTTTGTATCTGATTAAAAATTTTTGCCAACTCTAAAGCGATACCGACGCTCTCCCCGCTGGCCGATAAAACCACGTACCTATCTGAATATTGGAATCAGTGAATAGAATGTTTACAAACGTTTACTTAAGTCGAAGTTAATTCACAGAAATTGATTCACCAGGTTCCCGTGATCCTTTCGCAGTCGCGACGACGTATGATTGATGCCGATCAACTTTTTGTATCAGCGATAAATTCGATAGAATACCATTTACTCGATGGACATCGTCTTCCTTTAAGGATTCCCAATTCCTATTTTTACACATAACATTGTAAAAATCGGTATACTGGAAGTTCGGGATGTACAATGAGCGAAATTCTTTTACTAAATACTAGACTGTGGATTGTTATATCAGGAATTTTGTTTAACAGAAAAATCATTAACTTTTCAAAGTGCGTTTATACGAATTCCGCTCGCTGTAGGATTTGCACGTACGTTTCAAAGTCAGAATCGAGAGGAGCCCTTTCCAATTGATCGAAGATGAAACGTTGAAGATACTCGGTGCTCTCCAGGCCGTTCCCGGCTAGCTCGAGACGTCGTTTCTCCGCACGAAAGTCGATGGCTCTTTGCGTGGTGAAGCGACCGAGTAAAAATCCGCAGAGGAGAGCGACGAAGCCGACGGAAAATATCAACGAGAAGCACATACGTTTCGTCACAAACTCGCTACTCTCGCTCAGTCCGCGAGCCATTTGAAAGCTGAGAACCCGCTGCATATCGACGATCTTGAGGACACTTTTAAATAACTTGACGAGCGACTAGAGTCATGGTTCCTGGTAACACTTTTTTTCACAGTACTCGATTAGACACGTGAAAGGAATCGAATAAAACGGAAAGTGAACCGAGTACCGAGGAAAGCATCAATGCGGTGACTCGTTCGAAATGTTTTGCGTGCGCTACTGCTGTGAAGTAATTGTTATCGATCAAAGAACTTTGAAAGCGGTAGTAGTTTTAAACGTCGCATAGCGTGCGAGATACATTTTCTTCAAGCAAACCACGGTAAAGTCGTTCGGATCGGATTCGGTGTTCCCGCGACGCTAATTCCCATGACTATGCTTCCGTCGTCTTTAGTCGTCCACTCACTTTAACACTGCGTGGGATAAGACTGATATATTTGTCAGTCCGTCTCGTCGGCTTTCCACCTCTCTGCCAACGCTTCGATTATTATATCTACAATAGACATATGCAGACGAAATCGAAAACAAACCTCGCTTATTACTATAGAACCTTGACGTTGTTACTTTGGACTGGATTTGGAAAGGCTATATAAATAGTACAACTCTACATAGAATGGGAATTCCTTTATTTCAATTTTTTAGATATTTTATTTTAAATGACCTAACTTTGAATTAGCTCGAACATTTATTTGATGTAAATCCAAAGCAATTCCATTACTGAATGAGTCTTGTTTCTCGACAGCATCTTTTAAACTGATACAATAAATGTTTTGCTTTGCATAAACATCGGTCTTATTAAAAAGATGCTCATGTTTTGGTCCTTTATTTAAACTACTGCAGTAACGTGAATCGTGTAAATTATAAATGATATTTATAATCGTAACGCCGTATTCGCGGTGTTTGCGTCGAAGAAACGTATTTCAAGCAATAATACAGTGTGACGGTGTTTCGCTTATAAATAGTTTTCGATGTATTACGTGCACGTGCAAGGTTGTTTCAACTATAGATGTCCTGTTACAAACTCGAAACTATACGAAACCACTTATTCAGACATTATTCGTATATACTACCGAAGAAACGGGGGAAAGAACAGTCTCGCTTTTAATATCGTTCGTTAAATTTTATCTCTTTGCCCGTTGCTTAATGTTTTTCGTCTACGAATCGGCGATGGACGATATCCACTTTAATGCCTACCACAACTTCTCAGCTCTGGTATTTCGATTCCGTGAAAACATGCTCGTTAGGGACGCTAGTTTATTTGAAGATTCTTTATTGTGAACACATGCCGGCGATAAAACAAACACGCGTAAAACATGAAATAAATTATTGATACAACTTTCGTTGAGAAAGAAGCGTACGATCTTAAATCGCGCGAGTAGCAATAAAACTTTGGAATAGGAGAGCTGTAAAGATATTTCTTAATTAGTTTTCGAGGAAAACGTACATCTTTGCGTACAAAGAACGGACGTTATTTTCTGTAGAGACACGACTGTCGAAAGTGTATCCAAAACATACTCCCTACTTTTCTTTCGTATGTATTTAAAAAAAACGTATATGAATAAACTCGATGAATCGTCCAGCAACTGCACGGACATGAACAACAGGCGACCGCATCCGATCAAGGCACGTCTTCGCTTCGTCGCTCGAGTTATCATTCACATCAAGTTTCAGCTTACAATGCATTTTTTTTTTATGCAGTAGTTATGTCGAATGCATAGCACAGCAGCCGAAAGCATCGTTCACACATTATAAATTAATTATAACATCTGAAAATACAGAAACGTGCAAATGTTCTTTCTAGTTATTATTGATTCGATAAGCCCATAAAAAGGGGACAAAAATTGTTGTCCAAAGTCAACGATTTTTTAAATCACTGACGTCTTTTGTTTTCCATTGATAAAGTATCCCTCTACTGGAAATCTTGAGAATCGTAAGAAAATTATCATAAATCAGAGTTGTGCAGATGATGTCATGATACGGTGACACTCGCGCGTACAGTTGCAGTTCCTTATTCTAATTAAAAGTTGAAGCCAGATCATTCGAATAGATTGTAAAAGTGTACCATGTTCGATCGCAAAGCGATAGTATCGTGCCCATACGATAGCACCCACAAGATTAAAGAGAGCGTGTTGCCTTATCATTTGATACGATGCCGGCGAAACCAAATAAATTTGCGAAAAGTTATATGCCCCTACAACGTGTGGCATGTGATCGACGAAAAAGAAATCGAGGTATGAATAAGGAAAAATCGTTTCCCTTTGAAAGTGCTAAGAACTAACGTTATAGGAACACGTGGCGTGTTGTCCCAGCAGCGGGACCATCAAGAATTTAGAATATTGTTATAGACCATTATACGAGTTGGGAACAGTATCATTGGAAACTACTAAGAACTTGCCTGTTGCTAAAATGGAAGATTGGAAAGAGGTATTATTCTGTATTACGGTCTTGTAGATTATATTCTATAAGATCGTGTTTTATACTTAGGATTTTTACTTATATCGCAGGAAAATGTACCCCAATATGATCCTTGGAAAGTTACTGAGAGCAGAGATGTAATAAGGTGTTTGATAGGAGGGACAAGATCACAGAAAAAGAAATTTAGAGAATATGAACAAAAAAGATGGTCAAATCTTTCAGATGAAAGAACATGGTCTCCGAACCTGCGACAGCAATTTAAAACTTTACACATAACTGTAAGTCACTGTTCCAATATATTTAAAATACATGTACCCGAGTATCATTTTGGACTTGACCCAACAGCCACAGAAAATGTCGACGAAGGTATTGAACCTTGCACAACTTATTAAGAGCTTGGAACATTTACAATTCGAAGATATTGATGTCATTGCGAATAATATTGATCTTGAAAAGCTGATTATAAGCGATGTAAAGCGTAGAAATGCTACGATCAATGGGGAGCCTATTCCAAAAATCATTGAAGAGGTAATGCAAACCGTTACCAAGGTTTAATCATTTATATGAAACCCTCGATGTTAATATAAAATAACGTTATTGAAACGAATGTAAATAATTTTGTAGGTATTAGTGAAAGAACTTAGAAAACTTGTAGTTCACTGCTTGAAGGAATGAATCTCTGACAATAACATTGTGTATACAGATATGCAGTATTATGTTTGCATGACAGTAGCCTAATACGTATATAGATATATATAATAAAAAATAAAGTGCAAAAGCAGGCTATGGCACGAGAAACAGTGAGGCTTAAGTTTTTATTTGTCTATTCGTGTTGATACTATTATGATTAAAATAAAGACATTACACATTAATGCGTTTACTTTTAGAATCCCCTTTCTGTGAATTATCTCGACTAATTGAAAACTTTAATCTCTATATATGGAGTAAATGGGACAGATCGTGTTCAATTAATAATGCATGTAATACTTTAGTTTTATTTATACAAAATCGATATAACAAATAAAATACACACATTTTGACTGCACAATTTAATCGTGCATGTATAATATTCATAGAAAAGTTCTCTGGAGGCAAAAATAAATATTCGAACGTGTTTCAATCATTTTTCCCCAATAACTCTGCGAGTAACCAAGGAGACGATTCTTTATGACGCAGTTTTATGTGGTTCCTCAAATATCGCTTCTGACCGAATTTCATCCCGCATTTACAATCGTACGGTTTATCCATGTTGTGCGTTACACGGTGCCGCACGACTTCTCCCTTCACGGAGAACGTCTTCCCGCAAATGTCACAGGCAAACGCTTTAATGCCCGTGTGAGTAGTTTCGTGATGAGTTAGCCTCTGCCTGCTTCGGAAGTGTTTGCTGCAGTACGAACACTTGTGAGGTTTGTAATCCGTGTGCACGCGATTGTGAATGTAAATGGAATTCAACGTGCGAAACATTTTCGGGCAATGCTCGCACGCGTACGGACGTTCGCCAGTGTGGATCCTCCGATGATCGTCCTTTGCTCCTTTATTCGCGAACGCCCGTCCACAAATGTCGCAAGCGTATTTCTTGAGCCCCTCGTGAACGTCCCTTATGTGCCTCGCCAGGTCCTGCTCGATGCGGTATGATTTTCCACAGAGATCGCACTTGCAAGGCCGTTTGTTAAAATGTACACGGATGTGACGCAGGAATCCTCGTTTCGTGAATATTATCTTTTTACAAGTATCACACTTGTACGAGACACGGTCGTCGATCGTCTGCTTCGCTTTGTTCACGAGCTCCACTTCCTCCGGATTTTGATCTCGCCTCTTGTAGGAATGTTTGCTTATATGTTTCTTCAATTCGGACTTGCTCGTGAAATTCTTATTACACGTATTGCAAGTGAAACACGGAGGACTCTCTGTATCGCATAGTTTGTCCGCGCTATTCAAAGATTCATCTGCCGCCGTATTTTTGCAATTGTGCATCGACATATGCTCTTGAAATTTCTTTTCTTGGCACTGATACATCGATCTACAATATTGACAATAATGCACCTCGGCCCCGTGCTCGTTGTTCATATGACTCGTAAAAAATTTCATGTCTTCGAAGAGCGTGTCACATTGGGTGCACTGGATATAGTCTATCTGTACCTCCTCCGCGTTCGTACTTTCGTTCTCGCGAGGCTTCCACCTGCAAAATAAACATTCCGGTATGATGCCAGCTAAGTTTTATGCAAATTCTTGCTGTGACTCTTCAGATACCGCTCCTGAGCGAATTTCACGTTGCACACAGCACAACTATACACTTTTTTACTACCATGTACGCGTTTATGGCGACTGACGCAACCCTTGCTGCGGAAATGCTTGCCGCAGACGTCGCAAGGGTACGGCTTCTGCTCGGTGTGAATGAAAACGTGTTTGTCTAGTTCTTGCTTTCTTTTAAAGCATCGCTTGCACCAGGAGCATTCGTAAGGGTGAACTTTCAAATGGAAGGATTTGTGAACGTGCAGAGATGCCTTCTGTTTGAACGATTTCCCGCATTGCTCGCATACGTGCAGCTTCTCTCCTGTATGAGTTCTCCTGTGCTCGTCTCGCGACGCTCTAGAAGCCAAACGTCGGTCGCACATGTCGCACGCGAACTTTTTTACTCCCGCGTGAACGTCGCTGACGTGTCTGTTCAAAGCGGACGGTGAACAAAAACTTTTGTCACAACAGTGACACGTGTACGGTCTCTCCCCGGTGTGAATGTTTCGATGAATTAGAAAATTGTACGAGGTCGAAAGTGTCTTTTTGCAGTCTCTGCATTTGTAATACGTCGATCCGTTCCAGGCAATTTTCGAACGCGCCAATTCGTCGCGTTGCTGTGAACTTTGCTTCAATCTCTTTTTACATACTTTCAAAGCGGCCTCTGATTCCTCGTTAAGATCAGACTTTGGAAGTCTTTCTGTACGTTCGTTGTCGTTTGATTCGTTTTCATGTTTCGCGTCGCACCTGGAAAGAGATTTTTCCCTGTTACTCAACGGTGATCACGAAGGAGTTGTGATTAATTTTCCTATGATTAATCAAGTAGCGTTTCTGCCGGAACGAGAGATCGCATTCCGTGCACTGCCACGGTTTCTCGTCAAAGTGGATCAAACGGTGGCGCTTTAATTCGTATTTTATACGAAAGTGACGATCGCATATGTCGCACGCGTGCGGTTTTTCACCCGTGTGTTTCGTCAAGTGTAACACGAGGGACGGTCTCGTGCGAAAGTTCTGATCGCAGTAGTTACATTTGAAAGGGAACACGTCCGAGTGAGATCGATTGTGGACAAAAAGAGACGCCTTTTGTTTGAACGATTTCCCGCAAACGTTGCAGACGTATGGACGTTCGCCGGTATGAATCCGTCTGTGATCTTGGACGGTACGCTTCGTTGAGAACATCCGGCCGCATATGTCGCAGGAAAAGTTCTTTATCCCCGCGTGCGTGTCTCTCAAGTGTCTCGCCAGGCCCTGATTCACGCGAAACTGTTTGCCGCAGTGGTGACAGGTATAGGGTCGTTCTCCTGTGTGTATCCGCATGTGCCAAGAAAACGTGTACGGTGAGTAAAGATTTTTACCACACTCGTCGCAATGATAATAAACCTTTCCGTCGACTTCCATCTTAGCGCGCGTCACCCGATCGGCGCATTTCAGCTTCTTATTCTTTCTTTCAACGGATTCTGGATGCGACTTTGTCAAATGTATATTGAGTAGTTTCTTCTGCGTGCTTGTGTAATCACAATGTGTACACATATGCGTCTTTTTTTCTTTAGACGTACGTTCTTCTTTCTTTGGTGAACTCGTAGTTAAACCTGCGTCACAAGTATCAAACGAATTAATACTATCGCCACTGTCACTAGGATTCTGTTTTCTATCGATCGATTTATCGTAGCGTGCTGCAGATTCCTTTTGAGGTAGACCAAACCTGGAACAATAACAAATGTACCAGGTTTAAATGCTTCCGGCCGGTTCGAGGAATGTAGAACGTAACGAGAAAATCGTCGCGGCAAACTAGCACGGTAGAAAACTTTCAATGTGTCTGCTTTTAACGTGATTGTTCAAGTAACGCTTCTGTCGAAAGGCGAGGCCACATTTGACGCAAACGAACGGTTTACTCTCGGAGTGGATCAACTTGTGCCTGACGAGTTCAGATTTCACTCGGAACCTCTTTGAACAGACGTCGCAAACGTAATTCTTTTCCCCCGTGTGAGTGGTGATGTGAGCCAGCATTTCCTGCCTCCTGCGAAACTTCTTGTTGCAGTACGAACACGGATGCGGGAACTCGTTCGTGTGCAATTTACTGTGGATGTACAACGAAGCTTTCGACTTGAACGTTTTCCCGCACGAGTCGCATATGTAGGGACGTTCTCCCGTGTGCGTCCTGCGATGATCGTCCCGCGTAGCTCTCGACGCGAACGACTTGCCGCAAATATCGCACGTGAAATTCTTCAGTTTGGCGTGTACGTCTTTCAAGTGCCTAGAACGGCCGCCGGAATCTCTAAACTGCTTCCCGCAGACGTGGCACGTGAACGGCCTTTCATCCGTGTGTATCCTCATGTGCCTCTGATAAGAATCTTTCAACTTGAAACATTTTCTGCATTCGCCGCACTGATAAGACTCTTTCACGTCGACGCTCGTTTTATACTTTGTATGTTTGCAAGTATCTTCCGAGTCTTTCGAATTGCTAGAACATTTCCTTCTCGTCTTTCTACTCTTTGTGTTCGACGAGTTTGTCGATTTGTACGTCTCGTCACTCGGTTTCTCTAAGCTCTCTAATTTATATACATCAGAATCCTCTTCTTTTGCGTCACTGTCTTGTAGCTGATCAGACATTATAGCGGATTGATCAAGCGTTGAATTCATCACGGTGATCCATACCGAATCGCAATCACCGTTGCTTGTCGATTGTCTCTCTTGACACTTTTTTCTGTGTGGCTTCCGAAATACATTCTGCGTATTTAGGAACACCGTAAACGGTGTCTGTGTATTACTGGACCTGCAAAACAGTCAACGCTTGACTCTAGATTTGCAGCTATGCGAGATCGTTCTTGTTCGACGGGCACTTGAGAAAGTGACGATTAACTCTCTTGACAATCCTTAAAGCCTAACTCTTGTCATTTCACCAATCACGCACGCATACATTCTCATTTTCTCGGTAGGTTTGCGTAGATCGCTTGTGAGTGTCTTTTTCATGCTCCGAAATAATCAATGTATGAGAGATGTTGTTCAAAAATTGTTTGTATCAAAAGTCTGTTTATCCGTTTGCGTACTTTTTACCAAAATAGATCTTATAAAGAATTAATGACTACTGTGTTCCAAAGGGCATATTTTCTGCACGTTCAATTATACACAGCTCCGCAGTGTATTCATAATTTGTGTTTTCTTTAAATAAGAAATTTCATTACCTGCCTGAATCAATAACAGTTATCTCCTCAGGAACTTCAGCCTTTACAGTTTCTTGCTGTTGCTGCTATAATTAAATTATCACATGAGTTACGTCTGTATTTTAAAGGTATCTATACATGTCAATTTTCTACTTACGAAAGACTCGGCTATAGATATAGACGTATCTTGAAGAGAGGTTTCCAATTCTTTAGAGCTCTGGAAACGAGTATACATCTTTCTAATTCTGTCTTTATAATACGAAATGTACTGTTCATACAACAGATTTTGATACCTGTTTATCTAATGATTCGTCATACATCTCTAATAATCTTCTTTCTGCACTTAAACATCCTTCCAATAATTCGTGCCATGCCAATAACGTGGCGGCGCAATGATAACATAATTGCAGTGGAAGTGTATCGTCTTCGGATATCTTTAAAAATTATTCATACGAATACAGTGTTTTGACAAAGGAAGCAAACATCATATAAAATAAATGCATACATGTATAGGCAGATACTTGTGTATTTTATTACACAAGTCATGCTGCGAGCCTTCTCCTTCGAATATTGGAATCAAATGATCACTGGTATTAGCACAGACTCGACATAAAGTAGACCATGAAAACTGTTCATTGGACTGAATCGCAGCAGTTTCATCGTTAGAAACGTCCATCACGTTTTGTTGTTCACTCTGAACATTCGATACCACGAAGAAGCTTTCCTCTTCATTTTCCAATTCAGTATGTGAAGTTTCGTTAACCATATCCTTCACAGTTTCTATCAAAATCGAATCCCCTCTACATGCATCTAAACTAACAGCGATTGAACCTTCGGATTCCATTCTGCATCTGCAATATTTTGTTCGCGTTAAACGTGCAACTGTATTGATTTTATTACGATACCGATAAAAGTACGGACTTACGAAAAATTACACAACAAAACTTACATCATACAGGCAGCTTTTGTAAAAATATAAATGCAGCGCTCTTCGAATTTTGCATGAAACGAGGAAATAAAAGTCGCCGATCACAGTACATCCAGAAACACTGCAGTTAAGTGATTCGACAATTTGATCCACGTTCTTTGTCGAGGGTTCAAAATTATATTTCTTTAACCCAAATATTTTACAGTTTCATTTACGAATAAGAAAAGTTCGTTGGCTTTAGTTTAGTTAGTGAGTATCATAAATATTTATGATTTTTACGTATCATTTCTGCGCCAATTAATTCCATTACACGATTAACGAAAGTTCAAGAACAATTCTCTATTGTATGTAATTTACGTTTCATTTTATATCGACTTTAAGATTCGAATAAACTGCCCGTAACGAACTCTTTTTCGTTCAGATTCACACGAAGTATCGTTATCGTTGCGACATGGCTAAATCTTTGTTTGATACTTCGGGGTGAAGCCTTTGGGTGAAGAAGGACGGACACGCTGGACACGTTCGATTTCGAACTGCGTGCCGCCTAGTAGTGAATCGTGAAATTAGTAACAGCGTAACTTTACGAATTTGTTACGCGTATCTCCGTGATCATTTCGTAATTAAAACAATTATCTAAGTGAAACTGTACTCAAATTTATTCTTGATTAACGACTTCGAAATATGTCTTGGAAGCAGAGATGTAGACACGCAGGGAAAGAAGGTATTTATAGTCTGTTTAAAAAAAAAAAACGGTTTTATTCCACATCGAGGAGTGATTGAAGGTAAGGTACATGTCCTGCAGGTTCGTCACATTTTTATTTCGAATACTTAAAGTTGAAGATAATTTTACAATGCGAAAATACGTACGCTTGTACATTATCATACAATCGTTGGTTTTCGATATTATTTGAAATGTTTAATACCTAAGAAGGCTGCACAGTGTATACTTATTCGGTGTAACAATCAACAAGAGGACAAGACTTTTAACAATTGTAAATTTGCTTAAGTGGGATTCTCTGTCTTTCTTCGATCGACACCTCGACATTGTTACATACCCGAGTAACGGTCGCATCGTTCCGTGATTATAATAAAATATTTGTACGTGTAGCCATTACTTTTCTTACAATATTTTATTCATAATAAATGCAGTAAGCTGACTAGTAAATTTTACAAATCACAGGTAGGAAGGGAGTGTTGCCTCGAGCAACACAGAGGTATGTCATAACAATTTTCTTTATGTACATCTGCTAATTTCATAATCCCGTTAATTTTGCTACTTCCTTAATTCGATCGCTCCTCTGGTATTAATAATTTTACGAGCTCGAATTGCTCAACGAACTTACTGCATAAGCTTGAAAAGTAAACTGTAACATTGATAGGCAGGAAAAACGTTTTTTTATCGAACCTTTTACGTGCTTAATTGATATTTATAAGTATCCCTCAAGCATTTACGATGCATCGTGTTACGAGGTAACAAACGATTCGTATCACAAAATACACGAATACAGAAAGCATTTGGCTGAACAGACCGTGAACACTTAAGTGTAATAACGATAGATCAATTGTACATATTAGCAACATACATAAAAAGCTTCAGAACTATCTTTCTTCTGTGAACATCGTAAAATCATTTACCGGCGTGTTAGACCTCACTGAAACAATCTTTGCCAAGTGAAACGTACATTTGTAACTTCTCGTTATTTTTTCTAATCGAACAAAAAGATTTGACTACGATATAAAAAATATATTGCAGTCGTAAAGGAAAGATATGTTTACAAAATAATGGCAGTACCACTTTGTGTGTAATAGATAATATCGATTTCTCGCCAAGCATCGTATTACGTTTGGAGTACAGATAAATTGCTAACATGGAATCGATATGCTTCTGTGTCTTCTTCTTCTTCTTCTTCGTGAACATTTCGTACGTAAATTAATACATGTGAAATTAATGACGTGATTCATACATGTATGTACAGAGAACAGAGAACATCATACGAACTAAAAAAATATCCTCGCTGCTATATAAATATATTAATCTTTCATTTAGGAGTTAAATAACGAAATAATACTTTACGAACTTATAAGATACGGCGTTACGATAATTAATAGGGGTGTACGGGAATCCGGCCTGGCTCGACCGCGACTCGAAATCGCGGGTATTCGAGATTTGCAAACTTTCATCATTCCAACTTGAACAGAATTACGGGGAACCCGCACACCTCTAATAGTTAATAAAGAAACGAAAATGTGATTCAACAGAACGAAGCAAACATGAATACGATTAACACTCGATTAGAATAATATTTTTAAGCCTACTACTCGTTGTTTAAGTTCTTCGTTAAATATATGTGTCAAACTTGAAAACAGACATCGATAACGCATAAAACACTTTTAAAACCGATTACGTATCACGCTATGATTACGATTATGCGATAACAATATTCTTTCGTGCTTGATCGAACGTAGTACAAGTTAGCTCTCTTTGTGCTTAGCAAGGGAACATATTACAGACGTTCGTATGATTCACATGAGATCAACTCCCCACGATAACATGTTATAGATTAGGTATATCGAAAATGCCATTGATTTATGGATATTGTGTTCGACGTATACCTGTAACGGCGTACAATGCGGTCGTATCACAGCAAATCAGTTGAATTCGGAATTAGTCAACGTAAATGGAAAAATACAACGTTCCGCTATTTCGTCACGTGCTATGTTACAAAGCTTGCAAAATGCGAATGACGTTATGTTCGTTGGAAGAATAAGCTGCAAATCCTTGTATATGTATACTAAATACTGACGGCATTGCATGGATGGACAAGACCTCTATACGATTTTAATCTAAATGGATTGGTACCTGCCAAACCATATTGACAAACATCTCCCATCTTTCGCTTAGCAGGCGCGCAGCATTTCTTAAACGGAATCCGCGTAAATTAATATTGTTGGGCGTGTTATATCGAGCCACGATTAAAAATCATTGTACGAGCTGGTGTTCTTCCTAGTACTATACAAAATATATGTTGTTTTGTTATCTTATGACGAGCCTAAGTTCAATTAGATTATTGCACTTTGAAAAATTGATCTCAAAAACGATCTTTCATGATTTATACATGTGCTCGCAAAAGTTCGTTGAATGATTTCCTTTTTATTTCTACGCGTATTTCTAGATCGCCTATGGACGAATTTAAATTCTCTCATGAAGTGTTAAAAAAAATAAACTTACGAACAGTTCGAGGGCTCCTGTTCATAAGATCGTATCTTAGGGAATTGTCCGTGAAATACGATTACATTGTCGCCGAGATACGATCTCATGAACAGCAGGCGTCGAATTATAAAAGAAAAATACATGTTAATTCTTTGTGTTTCTGCTTTCAATTTGACTAGAAAAGCGTCGACACAGAAGATCGTACAACTGAACATGTTCCTTCAATCGAACACCTTAATTAAATAGGAACATCTGAACTAAGATTGTTACGAACGATAAGAGTAATTACTAGAACATAATTTAAAATTCTTAAACCTTAACTAATCGCAAACGAAATTAATCAATGAATGATCGTAATGCAAAAACAAATAAGTGCACGAAACTGATGACTAAATATTTCACGATGGGCAGAGATGATTTAATTTCAAGTGGTGAAGATCAGTTGTTAAAATTCTCTGATTGAATCACTTATTTTATAAAACGGATCAGCTTTAATTGGCCACCTGTCTTCCACGTTAAAACTCGCGACACTCAGACCCATGAACCTTTTTTCATGATCATTTTCTATCTAACTTTGACGCTGAAGACTAGTTTTAAGATAAAATCGTAATGTAAGAGTATGAAATCGACTGGAGAGACTAAGGAAACTCCGTTAAGAAGGCTCGAAATATTCGTTGAAAGTGTCGTATAACGAACTCGTTTCCGTTTCTACCCTTATAATAATAATAAGCGAATATTAAAGCGCTCTTAAAGCGTACCCAAAAATATGAATTGTGTGACGGCTTTCTGGGCTATATTTATACGGGAAACGTCAAGTTTTTAAATATATATATATATGTGTATGTATATCTATATATACGTGGATGATTGTCCACTTGTACTGGGAAGTCCTAGAGCAGCCGTACAATAGTACTTTTAACGAGTACGCGTATCTATAACAAATATACACATATTATACAAACTAGGTACGCGCAGCTTTTGTAGGCCTAGTGATTGACGATTGATTACATTTGCATTGTTCGGTGGTTGCCGCGTTCGAGTAGACGCGAGACGTGATGTGCGGCAGAGAGCCCAATAAATTAGGACCCGGCAGACTACCCGCAAACACGCTCCTTCCCAAAAAACTATGAGCGCACTTGTACAGCCTCGTTTGTAGAATTAATATATCATCGAGATCTTGCTCGCTATTTGATTGAATTAAATTGTACGTTAGAACACATCCATAATCGTTGATCTATCATTGAATTTGAAAAAGACTTACCTGGCAGCGGCCAAGAATTTTTGAAAAAGTCGATTCGGGACAGTACGTGGGCGATCAACTGTATCTGCATAAAGATCTGTCTCACGATTGTACATGTGCAAAAAGTCAGACAGTTGCTTAGCCGTGATCGCAGCACGGTCCTTGTCGCTCAGTTTACTACTTGGTAACTGCATAGAAAAATACTTGTGTAAAATTATTATATAGAAAAATGGTGTGTACAAGACTGGTTCTCAACTAGTTTTCAACTCACGGTAAAAAAGAACGGTGTCCTTAAATTATTGGCCGACTGTTGAAGGAATTTCATTACGAGATCGCAGCACGCCGGATCCGCGTTAGGCTGCGATATCTTGCGCAACACGTGTCCCAAGTATAAACCGAAGGCCTTTCTAGCTTCCCCAGGACTGAAACATTTTTACAATTATGCAACATACTGACTATTTCTACGGCTGAGGTTGTCCATACATCCGGGCGGATAATTATCCCAGCTCAAACTATTTCTACAAAAGGTCACTCACCTGAGTTTGTTTCCTTCGTGCATAGATTGTACTACTTGACTTTTATACTTGTGCCTATCAATGTCCATGTTTTCTTTACTGTTACCACGGTCCAAGCTCTGCTTGTGCCCTTTTACCAAAGCTCTTTCATACCTTTCATATCTGCAATCAATTACACCAAGTATATACCATTTTCAAATTACGCGTTCGAAATATTGTCTCTCTAACTGTACCTAGAGAGTCTATCTAGAGTTACTTCAGGAATGATAAAATCGGTAGTGCGGCTGGCCGCGGGGAACAATTGCTCGTGCAACATTAAATTGTGATTAGTATTGATTTGATGCGGAACTCTGCCTGGTCCCAGTGGATCCGAAACCATCGGTATTCCCGTAGTCGGATCTGTAATTACATTTGATAGAGTGACTAAAATCCAATGATACGCGAAACGAAATATTTACCCAGATATTGTGAATACATTTCCCACGATTTCGGGCTAGGAAATATCCGAACGAAACCTCCTCGCCTGTCGAATTGCGCTTTGGCAGATGCCACTATCCGTTGTTGCTCCGGCGTTAATCCAGATTTATTAATATTGCTTTTACTAGTATTCTTCTTCCTCTGTGTCAACGTCTCTGCCGAATGAACTCTTCTACACTAGAGATAATGAAATCCAACTTCGTAAAATTACGAGTAGGTACATGAGACATTGTTAGTAAATGTCATTCCTTAAATCAATACATTTCTATTTTGCATAAAAATCCGCGGTTTATGACTCACTGCTTTATTAGTGGAACACCACTGGACAAAGAACTTACGCTGACTATTCTTTTGGTAGACAAGGTCGATCGATTCAAATGTTGCGTTTGAGGCCGTAGCATCGGGTCAATCGCAGGTATTCCGACCAAAGTAAGCAAATCGGTTATCAGTGCAGATTTCAATCTGACATCGAGCGGCGAGTCGCAACCGAGCGACGGCGTTAAATTCACTTCCAGTAGCCACGGTTTCAGCGTATCGTCGATTAATACATCGAACCCAAACAGTTCTAAAACGATTACTTCTAAATATCTTACATCATTTCATGTTTCGTAACGCAACGAGCAAAGACCATACCGAAGCATGCTTCGGGATGTTTCACAAATTGCTTGATGCCGCTCACGATGCCGGACGCGGTCGCGAGAATCGATTTTATTATGATGTCCTCTATGCGCTGCATGAGTAATTCCGTGTCCTGTCCCATCGATCGCAAGTGTCTAAGCAACGCCGATAACGTCCATTTGTGGCCGACGTCCTCCGCGTCAGGATCCTCGCTTCTACAAGACAATTCGAAACAATGGTGCAATCCATTACATACGCTAACGACGATTCTGCTTACTTCACGTAATCCACGTGGAATTTGTTGATGCTGTAATTGCATAGGTGCATGCAAGGATTCCATATGTACTGGTTACCACCGTCGTACTTCACCGTGGCGAATCTTACCAAACCCTCTTCGTACAGGTAGATCAACAACGGGTCGTAATTCGTGACGGCCACGTACAACCGCAAGTCGCATTTGTGTCCATCGACCAACAGAGGATTATTTATGTATTGCGCGACGATCACGGATTCGTCCGTAAGAATCTTCTCAGGCTGCAAGTACAGAAACTTGTTCAGTTATTAGATCGAAATCGGGGGATTAAAATTGCTATTGTCTTCATCGATGCGCGGATTGACTTTTCAATTAATAATTCATGTCTGAAAATGATTATGCTCACACTGTTAACAATATAAATGCCGCGTCCGCGAGAACTGGCTTTGGGTTTGACAATCCAGGGGCCGCGATACCTGAAATGCGCTGTGAGCAATTCCCTTGACTCGCTCGGAAGCAGGAACGTCTGTGGTATGAAATCCAAGTTCCGTAAACCCTTGCTACGCTGCATCGCCTCAATGTTCTTGTAAAGTCGATCCTTGCGCGTGATTTCGTACGATCTACGGTAAGAGTAAGAGATTTAGAGTAAACTCAATGTTATTAGCAATATCTATTTCTAACGACGTTTGACGAATCATCCAGCATTTAATTTTCTAAGAGCGTTTCAAGTACCTTGGGAAATGATTCACTTTCTGGTGAGGCATTAAATTCCGTAGGATATCTGGCTTCGGGTGATTCCCCATCCACAAAATATTAAAGTCCATCTCGTTCATTGGAACCTGGAAAACGCAATCTTTTATTCGCTGCCCCTTTCGTTATGCTGTATGAAAAAATCATTAGGTATAGATTTGCTCTTATTTCTACGTTCAAAAATATCTCCATCGTTCGATTTAGTAAGACCCGGCGCCTCGTTGAATTCGAGAGAACGTGTTTTTCATCGACGCAAACAATTTTATTATTCGCGATGCATTGTCATTCTCACGTATCGTCTTCCTCGACCTTGCGGTCACTTTTCGTAGGAACAATAAGTACGCGGTCAGACTATTAACGCGGAGGTAGACGTAGTGTCGTGATAACAGCGAGGAGTCACGACGAGCAACGGTAGCGGATCCACGGACTTTGCCATAAGTGTCCGTACTTTCAATTTCGCTTCTTTTACACTATCCGTTTTTCGTTCGAACGCAATTAACTCGTCGAAAACATATAAATATGCAGATACGATAAGAAATATGAATTTCGAAGAGGTAAAATTTCAAGCGTGGAATAGAACTTTGTTTCGCGCCCCGAGGAATTTTAATGCATGAAATTCAAGATACCAAGCGGAAGGACGATCACTTTTAATCATCTCGTTTGCGTGCACACGACACTTTCTCAGTCCTCTCCTCTTGCGCGCATAATTGCGACTTTTTACCACGCTGTTTGGCGTAACGAGATTTAAAGCGACCGTGCCAGATGGGTTTAATTAATGAGTTGACTCTAATTAAGACCGAACAATCGACCGGAATAGAGGATGATGCCTATTAAAGGTCCCTCGGCCGCGATAATCGCACCGTAATTTGTATACCCATCGACGAAGCACCTGTTTCGTTATATGTTTTTCATTCAATCGTATAACGGCGCCGCTCGCATTTGCGTATGATGACCCGAGAGCTACAGAGCGTCGAGCACGTGATCGCATCAATTGAGTTTAATGTAGATCGACTTCATCATGATTCGATACAACCCCGTTCAGTAACGACGACACGTTTCAACCACGCATGATGTGCTCTTCCACGAAATCGTCGCACTTTGACCTACCGTTTATGGAAAAATTAAATACCAATCTACTATTTGTACAATAATGTATTCAAATTTCGGCAATAAACGTGAACAAAGAAACGGGAGATTAGAAGATAAGACGATCGTTAGGCAAAGTTCTCGTTTACGAAACCGAGCAAAGTACGATGGGAGGAAGGGACTGGCTTAAGTTGTTTGTAGACTACGTGATCACGGCCACGCGCTCAGCTCATAGACTTCTCATCTGCAGACACACAGTAATGGATTTGCTTTTGCGTCACGGAACGGGATCGTTAAACGATCAAACACTCTGGATGCGAAGCGTTTCGCGATGAATCTCCTCTTCAATGTCCTCTCTCCGCATGGGGAAAAACGCGATGCTGAAAATACATCGTCGAACTTGAGTCAAACTCGTGCCGTTGAACCCTCTTCGTCACCTCGTGAACAAAGAATTCTTAAATGATTATTGGAGAAATACATGGAGACTCGATGCACTTATATGTACATAGGATACAGAATAGATCTAGCTGGCTGTTCTCATTAACCGTAGCTGTGGAAGCAAATGGGCAAGAACGGTCGATGCAAATGGGACCACTCAAGGACCGTTTCCGCGTTTCGACTCGAAGGTCCTCGTCCCAAGACCGCCTGAATAACGCCTGATCTGTGTCGATCGGAAGGAATCGACGGAGGCGAGGACTGACAAGCGATCGGGCAATGCGGAAGTCGAGGAAGAACACCGACACCTGGGGACGTCGTATACAATTTTCTACCAGTCGGCAAGCCTTCAGGACCGGTTAGCTTCTCAGTCACGGACCTTCCAAAGCGGCGCGTGACCCTCAAACCTTATCCCACCAACTCTGCCCGTGTCCTCACCTGCTCGCCACGATTGCTGCACACGAATATTCTCAGGAGGATAAAGTATTCCCAAGCAACAACTTTTTTATTACCGCCTCCCTTTGCTTCCTTCTTTAAATGTTTTTTAAATATTTTTCTCCGACCTCGAAGAAATCCTCTTGTTAGATTTTAGAAATCGACGGATCATAGACAAGGATACTGAAAGTTTTCGTTACGCACTTGCGGAATAATCGATTTTATTATGTAATTAGTGAACGTATCGTTGATCATTAACGCGGATGATGATCATGGTGGGAGTCGAGGGCAACATTCTTCGCTCGTGACTTCGCCGTCTTGTCACCGAGAAGATCTCGCGGGATCTCCCGTTGGCGTAATGATCGTGTGCGAAAAAGAATCGCATCCGCTGGCGAACGAGGCGTAACATAATTGGCCCGGGGGAAAATTCATCACGCGGAAACTCGAGGCGTAAAGTGCCGCGTTTAAGGAGACGTTAATTAGAACGGAGGCTGCGAATATACGTTAGACTCGAGAGACTCGTCGTCTTCGCCTTCTTCTTTTTCCTTTAAGGTGCACGATTTGCTTTCACCTCGGATCGATCAGCCAAGACGGCTCGTAATTGCGCGAGAACGCGACACCGTAAACTACTCCGGTTCTACGTCTTCGAAGAGGGAAGAACCAGCGGAATTGAGGCGGTCTTCCCATGCTTCCGCTAACTAGAATTTGTGTTCTATTCTTCGTTTCTATTTTTGTTTTTATCGCACAAGTGCATCTCTTCCTTCAAGATTGAAAACGATAACAATAATCGTATAAATTCGCAACGTTGTTGAATCTTCTGAGAATTTCTGAATAAAAAAACAAAAGTTTGTTTTCCCTGCATTGTCTGCCAGGTTCTCTACGTATCGGTGTCGAGAAACGATATACCCTGGTCCGAACAATGTAGTGTTTCCAGTTTACAAGTTCATAGGCGATGATTAATCAATGAGTGCGACAATAACATCAGGCGATTCTATTAGAGCGATTAGCAGTAGAAGCTATTGAAACCAAAGATGCGCGACGAGAAGGCGACACTCGGTCATGATTCTGCTCGCTGCTTTAACGTGTCGCGCTTATACGTGAGCCACATATTGCGTTACTGATCAAGGATAACAAGCTGGCGACCGGAGGCAGGCGCTGGAATCGTCTCCTCTTTTTCCTTTCCATTTAACAAAAGTCACGCTGGAACGAATTCTCGTCGCCGAAAAATGATTGAAAACAGGGTAATTTCGATTTTTAAAGTGAACTCTCGGGCAAATGAAAGAAGGCCAAGGCGTTCTCAGTGAAAGGTGCCCAAGCCCTTTCGACCGAAGACACAGATGACGTTTAAACGAGATCTGGCGAGGGCCGAATCCAGAAATAGTCGAGTGATCCTCGAGCCCTACAAACCTCGGCGAGCCAAAAATATTTCAATGACACCTGAACATAAAACCAGAATAATAACCAAATAATAAAACTGCTTTAAAAGCTTTGAAGATTCGATTATAATTTCAATACGTTGACCTTGAGCTCTAAAATAACTCAAAAGACGTTTCGACCAAATGGAAACAACTTGTTTTCTTATTTCAATACCAACGTCTATTAACATAATTTACACCCCTCGTGCATATATGAAACAATTTCCCCGGCAAACGATATTCTTATCTCTGTTCCCACTATCAACGACCACGTTGCGATACACGTGAGCCACGATTGATAAGCGATAAATTCGGATCCAACAATGATAGTGGGTGCCGTTGAATGATACTCTTGTTTTTTATACCATCTACGCGCAGTACGGAAAGAGATTCTGGGCATGTTCAGATGTTTACAAAAGTGCGCAAGGAGTCTGCTATTAGCATGCTAATTATTCTTGGAACCCGAGTCTCCATTTGAAGAAAGATTTTTTCAGATTTGAGGAAAGGTTACAAAGAGATTACGGCGACGTAACTGCGTGCTCTCCTCCAGGAAATTGATGTTTTCTAAATACCCTGTGATCTGGTAAATAAATAATGCAGTACACTTCAAATGCGACTCTGCCCGAGGTACGCCGAGAACGCGTACTATTGTTCCCACTATCAACGACCACGTTGCGATACACGTGAGCCACGATTGATAAGCGATGAATTCGGATCCAAAAATGATAGTGGGTGCCGTTGAATGATACTCTTGTTTTTTATACCATCTACGCAGTACGGAAAGAGATTCTGGGCATGTTCAGATGTTTACAAAAGTGCGCAAGGAGTCTGCTATTAGCATGCTAATTATTCTTGGAACCCGAGTCTCCATTTGAAGAAAGATTTTTTCAGATTTGAGGAAAGGTTACAAAGAGATTACGGCGACGTAACTGCGTGCTCTCCTCCAGGAAATTGATGTTTTCTAAATACCCTGTGATCTGGTAAATAAATAATGCAGTACACTTCAAATGCGACTCTGCCCGAGGTACGCCGAGAACGCGTACTACGTATACGATCTTGGCCGGCCACTCGACCACGGGAATGGACAGGGCGCCGTGTGGTGGGCAAGCTGAAAGCCGGACGGCGAGGTCGCGAGCGGAGAGTACGCTAGCAAACGCATGCGATTTTGTCCCGGCGGCAGTCTAGCACGAGCCGCCGCTCAGGAGACACCCGTAGGGGACTTGCTTGTTTCAAGGTAGGAACCTGACACGCCAGGTCTTCGTCTTTTTCTTTCCTCTTCCATTTACGATCACTCGCTTCTTTACCATTACTAACTCTGTCTTTTCGACTGTTCCTCTTTTGGCAACGCGTGCTTTCACCTGAAGAAGTAAAAAGTCGTAGGAGCGATTAAACGATATTTTCAATTGCTAGGATTCTTCTTGTTATTACTTGATAAATCCTTGCCATCCTTCTGTTCTTCGCAATGATATTCAGAAAATCAATGGGATGAAATTCCGATCCATACTTCTCGTTCATCTGCACAGTGTCTTCATTGAATTAGAATATTTCTCGATCGTGATATCTCCATACCGTTGCTCCATTCATTTTGTTTGCGTTCTCTCCAATGTTTTCTTTTTTTTATTCTCGTCTTACTGATATCCGGCCAAGTGGCCTTTTCTTATTTAGTTTTGGTTTCAATAATATTCGATAAGCGTCCGACACGGTTGGAGACTGGCCGAGTTTTCTGCGGGGAACTTTGTTGTACTGCTTTTAGAAACCTGCGCGTGTGTTGAACTCTGAATTAATTTAGATCCACCGATGCGAAATGGGAAAGGGTCGGCCAAGGTACCGATCGAAAAAGAATCGCTCGAAATAAACTCGCTGCCTCTTTCCGACTGTTCAATCGAGTTCAATGGAAAGAGGAGCTCCAACCTACTGCCTGTGGCTGGAAGAGTTGAAAGTTTTGTTTGGATCGCTGAATTCTCGTGACGCATCGACACGTGGGTAGCATACGCTCGATGTACACCTTGAATCAGTAACAAAAGAGAACCTAGCAATGCTCAAACGATACTTTCATCTGCACAGTGTCTTCATTGAATTAGAATATTTCTCGATCGTGATATCTCCATACCGTTGCTCCATTCATTTTGTTTGCGTTCTCTCCAATGTTTTCTTTTTTTTATTCTCGTCTTACTGATATCCGGCCAAGTGGCCTTTTCTTATTTAGTTTTGGTTTCAATAATATTCGATAAGCGTCCGACACGGTTGGAGACTGGCCGAGTTTTCTGCGGGGAACTTTGTTGTACTGCTTTTAGAAACCTGCGCGTGTGTTGAACTCTGAATTAATTTAGATCCACCGATGCGAAATGGGAAAGGGTCGGCCAAGGTACCGATCGAAAAAGAATCGCTCGAAATAAACTCGCTGCCTCTTTCCGACTGTTCAATCGAGTTCAATGGAAAGAGGAGCTCCAACCTACTGCCTGTGGCTGGAAGAGTTGAAAGTTTTGTTTGGATCGCTGAATTCTCGTGACGCATCGACACGTGGGTAGCATACGCTCGATGTACACCTTGAATCAGTAACAAAAGAGAACCTAGCAATGCTCAAACGATACTTACTCCGATAAATAATGAAATATTCATAATTTATGTACCGTTCGATTATTCGATCGAAGGATCCCTCTTATGCGTTTCGAGCGGCGTAGAAACATGAGTACCGAGTGTCAAGCGTTTTAAATACCGTTACTAGAAAGTAGCGTCGATTGCTCGCAAGTAGAATGAACGAAAAAAGAAAAATGGTCCAGTGAAAGTGTCGCAGCGGTGTGTCGGATTCGGTTCTGTTTGCCTTTATGTAACCGAATGTGTGAACGACTCGTGGTGTCCACCACGTTTTGCACACTTTGATATCACGTCACGTGACCCGTGAGCGATGCTCATCTTCCCGGCTCTGTCGATTTCCATTCGTTCAACGATGCGCGATCCACTGCGCAGTAATACTGCTGGCCGATTGAATTTCAATAATTCAACCTCGGGTATTATCTAATCAGTATCAGTTGCGATTTGCATACACTTCGATCCGCGATGCAATTATTTCTATTTCCAGTGCGCTGTCTCCCCTTTGTCCACGTGGTTAAATCCGGATTGGATGAGAACGTAGGTCTGGGTCAAGTTTAAGGGGTATCTTTTCTAACGTTTGTCAGTCAGTTTTTTAAATAACATTCAGTCTATCCCGTTGATTTCCAACGAGATTCCCTCTGGTCTTCGTCGAGTGAAATATCAATATCGGTCGTTCTACCTTTCTCAAACATTTTACGTAATCGCATTAAAATATTTACTCGGCAAATTCCATGTTTTCTCCCGTGTTCCCGCAGATAGCTATCTGCGACGAGCCGCGAAATTGCATTAGAGTACGAGGCGCTAGTTAATTAACAAGAGGTCGCGAGAAACCTCGCTGTATCGTCCAACGTTTTCGCAATTACGCTGTGCATCGACACCACTATTTCTGTCATTCAAACGCGCGAGGAAACGGAAATTGTTTATAGTCAGCAGGATAAAAAATGATACGTACTATGTGCCAGCCGGAACTGTTATCAATTTAATTATTATATTTTCCGTCTGTAATAAACAACTGTGAGACTTAATTGCGTTCGAATGACTCGTCTGGAGTATCTAATAAATCATGGATACGAACAGTTTAGTCAATTAAGGATATTTTTATGCAACCATGATGTTACGTGGAACGAGTTGGGTAATGAATTAACGTTCTTCTTCTGCTTACATTGAAGCGGAAAAAATTGATGACACGCGACCGAAGAAAGTAATAAGTGATCGTCTATTTGTTCATGATATGTCGGAGGAGCGTGTGCAGATTTTCAAGTTGCACCGCAACGCAACGTCGTTAGAGCGAAGCACGTCTCGAGCATGTTTCCTAGTTTCTCTGATTGATCTATCGTGATACATGTGCTAGGTTTTCACGCGAGAATAAATCGTAACAGAGATATCACAATACAGTCATGAAAACTTGACTGTCACGAAACTGGAATCACGATAGGCACATGAATGAACGTAGATGGAACGTCGAAATAGGAGAATTGGCAGCGAAATTCAGAGTCTCATTAAGCATACACGACTTTATTAATAAACGAATGACGCGATACAAACAACTGTTTCTTACGAAATCAATAGGAATATATCCTCCATTCTCTTGGGTCTATGGGATTCTCTCATTCGCACGACAGTCACGACAGCGAAAATCATGACAGTTACTGTCACGTGAAAACGTACATTCCTGTACGGTCACAAAAGAGAGACGTGCATACAAACATTCTTCCTGTCGAACTTGATGAGCGTAACAGAATTTTCTTCGAACTTTGAAATGAATTTAGGAACTATTTCCCGAGAGAATCTTGTTTAAATCCCAAGGCATAATAAAATCATTAATAGTATTTGTTTGGCAAACTTTGAACTTGAAAATAATAAAGTTAATCGCTCGTTTGTTCTTGATAAATAAAGCAAAGTTCACTTCGTATTCATGGGGTCGGATTTATAAAGGAATGGAAAATTCATTGATCATTTTTCATTCAAGACGATGACTCTGAAAGGTGGTAAAACGGTATGAAGGGAAAGCGTCGGCGCGTTCTGTCACAACAACAGTTTACAAAGTCCCAGGAATTTTTAACTGTTATCAAGTGTACAGAAAAACTTGTTTCTCCTTAACACACTTCTTTCAATTAACACTCTTATCCTAATGGCTTTGTCATGTTCATAATTACGCGTATAACTACCAATCTAACACGTTCTAAATGTAAATAACCTCAAACTCATAATATTCATTTCGTTCCTGCACTATCTTTGCGCAATTTCAATGTTCCGAACTTTTGATAATAATATTTTTGCAACTTCCTTATTTCTATCGTCAAAGTACATCACACAACAACGTAAAACAGTCTCGTGTTAACGACCACGGTTCGGCTGATCGATCTGTCGTATATTACAGTGAATAAACAAGAGAAGATGCCTGGCCACCGTCAGCCTAACTCCCTGCAGGGGCTTAGTTTGGGACGTGTGTGTCAACAGCTCGACGGGACGTGCCGAAGGCTGCAGGTGCTTTCACAAGAGTCATCAGCTGCACAAGTGTTGGCATATGCAAAGCAGACTATCAGACCTTATTACATTAATGCGTTGCCCGCACGGTTGAGGTCTCAAGTCATAGAAGAGACGTCAAAAATGTTGTACGGGCCTGCATCCGATGGGTCGACTCTAATTTCGGGTCCAGCTCCTCTGTATCTGCTGGCCCTTCTTCTGGGACACGACATAAAGCATTTGAAAGTGAATCTGTGTTGCTACTATGGATGCAGTCACCAGACCTCTCTATTAAAGCTACTCGCAACGGAAGGAATCGGGCTTGAATCGCTGGAGCTGGCCCGTTCAGCCTTACTGAGACTGGACTGCAAACTGTTAAGGTCTGCCCTTCTGAACATGAAGAATCTGATAAGTCTGACTTTGCGCAATATCGCCAGTGACGCGGTGCTTCAAGTGGTGGGAAAAGCATGCCCGAAGCTTGTGCACTTGGATGTAGCTTGTTCGAGACAAGTAACGGATGTAGGATTGAAGCAATTACTGTTGCAAGTCGAGTTGAGGGACAAGATACCGCACGCTACGATGCAGGAGCCTACCAGCTGGTCCCGTATAAAAACGCTGCTTTCGAAACTGAAGATGCGAAACTGTAAATCGGAGAAAAAGGAGAAACAAGGAGTACTGTTGGAATACTATGAAAGTAGAAACTTTCTCTGTGATACGCTCAGAGTACTTAACGTCGCGAACACCGGCGTGACCAGTGCGGGAGTGCTTCTGGCTCTGGTACACGTCCCGAGATTGGAGTCTTTAGCGGAGTACGGTCACATGGGGAGGGTGGTAGAGATCATGAACAAAGGATTGATCGGATTCAAGACCCCTTTCAGCCTGACTCAGGCGAGGAGCTGCAGGACGACGCCGGTCCGTTTGGAACTCTTGGCACAAGCCTGCCCGAAAGTGGAAAAATTACACATCTCAGAACCTCATCATCCCCCCGAAGCTCTAAGACTGTTCCCTTATATCACATCGTTGAGCGTGCACAATATACCGCCTCAGAGAGAATGGTTGGACGGCTTTTACAACTACCTTCGCACGAACGGTCACGATCTACGCGAGCTCCACCTTCGAATAACTCAGAACGAGAATCCGATACAGGTGGACCTGAAAGAAATTTTCAGCAGCTGTTCCAACATCAGAACGTTCACCAACGATGGCTCGAACATAATTTGGTCGGAAGGAGCCGATCCTCCTCCGTTGAAATATTTGAAAAGAATTCAGTTAGGACGAACAGTCAGTGCCGTTGCTATCACGAAAATCCTTTCGTTGGCGCCGGAATTAACAGCGTTGCACGTTCACAGTTGTTTCGATCTCACGAACGAACATTTGGAAAAACTATTGAGTGGAACAAGCAAACACAGGAATTCAAAAAGATCTGACAAGTGCGAAAATAGTTTGGTACAGAACTTGACGTGTTTTTACATATATGAAGCCAGTAAAGTATCCGCGGCTACTGTTCTCAATATGTTTAAGAATTGTAAAAGACTGAGAAAGATTGGAAACTTGGCAAATTGGGGTCTAGACTGCGAGGGTGTTCGAATGTTAAGAACTACTCTGACTCGCGCCAACTTGGACGTCGACTTGTGCCCGGGTGCGCATTGGTTCTGCAGCAATTGTATTTAGTAACAGGTTTCTTATTTTCTAGTTTTATATATCGAGGAAAGCAGCTTCTTAGAAGTTTTGTCCATGACACGATTGGCTGCTGTTTCTACTTTAATAGACTGTAAAATTGTCAGTATTAAAAATGATTTTATTATACAATTACTGGTGACAGTAATCGGTCGTCTTATATGTTCGTGACTTAAAGATTTTGAAGTTGATTTGCTCGTATGACTAAGTACTTTACTTTAATTAATCAATAATAATTTACTAAATATAAAATACGAAAATATATCAATACGCCATGTTATAATAACTTACTTTAAAGTAATGCCATTAACAAACGAATCAAAACAAATGCATATAAAATCTGTACTTTTACTAAACATAAGCTGCGCTATTATTTCCGATATACATATATGTACTTAAAAGCAGAAAATTAATTTGTATTCTAACGAGTCGAATATAATTTCAGCCCCGCATCGAACTTCAATAAAGAATATCTTTAAAAGGACATGTTCAATTCTTTCTTAACTTACCTCTGATAAACCGTGCGACTGAAGCAGAAGATTTATGAGTTTAGTGTCCGTTTGAAAAATTTTGTAAGTCATATGCAGTTTCCTCGCCGGCGCTTCTTCCGGTGGGCAGGCCAACGCGGAGCATCTAAAGAATCAAAACAACAGATTATACATATACAACAAACAAATCTTAATCCGCATAACGCAAAAGTGTAACTCACTTGAAACGCAAAATAGATTTATTGCCGCTTGGTCCACTTAAAAGCCATTCGTTGTGTTGGGGGTTTGCATCTTTTCTTGTGCTGCAAAATGAAAAGTAATTGTACTTAATATTTAAAAATGCGGTTCGCGGGGAAACATTTCGCCACCAGGACATGGCGCCATCAGACGTCGATAACAACGAAATCACTTGATTAACTTGAATGTAAGCCACCGAGGAGATATTATTAAACAGTCGCAGCGCCTGTGTAATCAGACAACGAATGGGGCCCAATCGGTAATCGCACCGACGAGTTTGGTGCGATAAATTCATACTAATAGGAAATTGTACAAGATTTTATTAGTAGCTGACAACTAGAGATACAATTTTTGTCTGAAACATTTTTCGCTAGCGTCGATAGTTTATGAGTATTTCATAAAAAACGATAAAACAGTTTATTGCAAATAACTCATTAACTATTGACGTTAGCGAAAACTGTTTCAGACACAAATTGTATCTCTAGTTGTCAGCTACAAATAAAGTCCCATGCAATGTTCCTGTAGGTCCAACAGTTTAGAAGTAATTGAGGAAATATGAGAATTTTGCAAAATCTGAAGGGGTACCCCTTAGCAAAGTCTCGAGAAATTCAAAATTTTTCTTCTTGGAATTTCAAAAAATGTTTCCAATGAAAGTTGTAGGTACTGCTATTACCTGCAAGGAAAGTCGTATACAATTTTGTTCTATCTCGAATAATTCAAGACTAATCGGTCAATTATTCCATTCATCGTCAATTACTCTTTAACGAGTAGATTCCAAAATTATATTTTAAATTGCAAACTTTTCCGTGTGACACAAAGTTCCATAAGTTTAACTTTTTAGTTATCTCTCCTCAGTGATGAAGCCTTTTATAATTCAAACCTTGTACGAACTACATATACTGATGTAAGTATTTGAAAAGTTTCTCTGATGCACATAATTGGCCTTCGGCTTACCTTTCCTTCGTTTCCTGTTTGTGCGGTTTATGTACAAGAGGTTCTAGAGTCTCCTCGCTGCTGTTCGATAATTGCGACATACCGGAAAGACTGGAAGACGACATCAACTCCTTCGAGCGTTTGCCTTCCAGTTTCCCAGCAGGTTTCGTCTTCATCTGGGACAGCATGATTTATCTGTAAATTTAGAACCAGAATACTCTAAAGAAAACATCCCTCTTATACACAGACGTCTGCGTAATTTCAATCGTGACACGTTACTGTCAATGCAGAACGCAGGCATCGTCGTTAACGAAGAAGCATTAGCTCGGTACGACTTTTCTTTCATTGTTTCGTTTCGCACGATCCGCGAACGTGTCCGTTCTGCATCGACAGAAACGTCAATAATTTGTGTGGGAACAAGCGCGAGACGCAAAGGGACAAACTGCATGACGTTCAATAATAAGCGGGCGGACCGAATAAACCAGAGGACGACCGGTGCGCACATACCGCGGACGTGTTTATTTTTTATTCAACGTGCAAGTTTAAAAAAAGACTTTCCAAACCCCGAAATCGGTTTATTAAAGAGGAACCATAAGTAGACTGGCTGACACTTAATATTTTCCCAGCCAAATAAAGAAACACCTTTAGAGGCAAAATTGAAATAATCCTAGGAATTAAATTCTAAATCTGAGATGTTTAACACAAAATTCCACGATAATCGTGAGACGTGGGATTTGTGAAAGTGCGAGTTGACGATACGAGGTGTTCCCTCGATTTTAATTACACCCACGCTCGGGTTTCGCGCTTATAAACAGGCGATCGATTCCCAGCCCGTTGCCATGCACTTTGCTCTTCTGCCAGCGGAATGTTAATGGTTAAAACTGGTATAACCGCGCGTTGCACCTTGACTCTTGCCAGAGTTAAGATCATGTGGGTAAGCGGATCAAGGTGCACCGTGAAAGAAAATTACAGGCGGAAGCTTGGCTACAATTTGGCAAATTGCACGAGTCAGGCGCCTAACTAATCACGCCCTGGGGATCACGTGCGACGATGATATAAAGTCGACATTGTATCTCTAAACTGTAACGTCGCGACGCCGCCGATCGATGGCATTGATGTTCCTTTGAATATAAAATACTCACGCCTTTTTATAAATGGTCTCGATTAATTATTTACCGAACAGGCGACCGCTGAAAGGTTTCTCTGAACGACTTCCTGAGAAATAGGCCTCTCTCGGTTTACATATGATCAGCGCTTCGTTAAATGAAATTTAAATCTTGCAATGATCGCGTCATTGGTATTAATATCAACAAATGTCTTGCGCCGGTTCGGCGAAGAGAAAGGTAACAGGACTCGGAAAAGAGCGTTATCTTTGCATTACGTACGCACGGCATGTGGCTATTAAAAGCACGCACGAGGGTCCCTTACCCAAAAAAAGCAGAATTTATCGCGTTGTTACGGTACCCCTTGCTATTAACCGGAATGAAAAGCAGGTGACAGAATGGTCGGTGCATGAGTCACTGCTATCATGATTTTCGCGACCCTCGCATAACAAATTTCATTCGATCATTTAGTTATGACTTTGGGTTCATTTATTTAAGATCGCTCTGGCTCAAAATAATATCAAATGTTTGAAATTTTTAATATTATCGTTCACCGTCGTAGTCAGAAGAATGTTAAAAAATACTTATTTAGAGAAAAAGAATGTTTATAATTTACCACGTTTTTAAAACTGACTAAAGAGTATAAAATAATTATAAAATGCTTGTGAGATTTAGAACGAAAGACGTGGGGCATTCATGCATTAATTATTGCATACACCCCACGTTTTGCGTTCTAAATCTTACNCCATTGGACATACGGAAAAATTGTATAGGACCTTTCTTGTAGAGGACGACGAGGTCTACAATTTCTATATAAAAGTTTCTCGCTAGCGTCAATAGTTTACGAGTAATTTACAAAAAACTGTTTTTTCGTTTTTCGTCAATAACTCGTTAAATATTGATGCTAGCAAAAAACTTTTATACAGGAATTGTAGATCTCCTCGTCCTCTACAAAAAAGGTCGTATGCAATTTTCCCGTAGGACCAACGGTTTAGGAGTTATTGAAGAAAAACGAAATTTTTTGTCAAAAGTTCGCCATTTCGACGCTGGGATGGTCGGATTTTGTCAACATCAATAAAATGCCATATAATCATACGTAACTCATTAAATATCGAAATTAGAAGATAAATGCACTATTTTTAATGATAGGAAATGCGTTTTTCTAAGGTACATAAACTTTTGGAATTGACTGTATAGCCAATACGTCCTTAATAAAAACGTAGTAGAATGCGCCGGATTTATAAGACGATTTTACCGACGCATTGTCGGACAAAAGAGAGGCGAGGATCGATCTGACAGATGTCAAAATTCGTAGTCCTTTTCACAAGCCTAAATGCGGTAACTCCGGTGAGAAAAAACAAGCAGCAATATACGGAAGTATCGATCATCGTGCCCGGAGAATTTGTCCACGACTGTTTATCTCGAAACAATGTGAAGACACACGCGCGATACCAGAAATGGAAACGCAACGAGGATGGACGAGGTCGCGATTACTCCAGAGCCCATTAGAAAACGTGCCAGGATCAGTAATGACAAGTGTAAAGCGCGGACCGTCGACCCGGCCGCGGGAATCATGTCCCTGCCGGTGGAGATCATCTACGAAATTTTCGCCTATCTCTCGTGCAAGGACCTGTACGCCATCAGCCTCGTGTCCACGTTGTTCAATCGAGTCGCCACCGACCCGTTTCTATGGCGAACTTACGAGGTGAACGATTCAATCCTTCGAATTATGATCACGTAGCCTAAGCAGTAGTCGCAGCTTAGAAAAGAAATCATGCTGATCGAGGGAACGTCAGCAGAAGGCGTCATTTCATTCTCTCTTCTTAGGTGACGAACAATAAAAAGAACACGGATACAGTAATCAGAGAGCTGAAGAGAATGTCACTGCTGAAGAAGTTCAGTATAAGCATCAGAGCTGACTGCGACGATATCCTACGGCAGCTCTCGCTGTCCAACAAACGCTTGGAGGAACTGCACATTTCTAATTGCACAGGTTCTATTCTGTTATAGTCAGCTTTTTCTCTTTTGCTAAATATCGACGAAGCTCCTGGCTCGTCTTCAAAAAATTCCTTTCCTCTCTCTCTCTTTCTCTCTCTTCCCTCTGCGTTTGATTCATCCCGATGGGAGGCGGCACGACGAAATGGAAAAACGTTTGGCCGCGTGTCAAACAGCGAGGAACAGTACGCTTCTCTGTAGTCACATCTTCTAACGACGCATCACGGTCTCTTTTACACCGTGCATCAAAAGTGCTCTGAAAGCTCTTCCTTCGTCTTCTTGCATCCTTTGTGAAAGGATTTGTATCGATTCGCGAGGTTCCGCGGTTCGATCGCAATTAGTATTTTATGCACGCTTTGTTGAGCTCATCTGCAGTGCAGCATGTATACAAAACGATTTCAAGTTGCTCGCTCGCTCGTCGGAACGCGCGAACGATCAATCGGAAGCAGCTGTCGGTTTCAAGATTGATACGAATTCTTCTCACATACGAGCGCACACGTCCTCGCGTTGATCGATACGAGCATGAGGCAAGAACGTAAACGCAGAAATAGCATCGAACGTATTTGCATGGCAACGATGGCTCGAGACATGGTCGCTGCGTTTTGCATACATCACCATAAGCTCGGATGAACGTAGAAACGTGTTCTAAAAACGAAAACTTCTCGTTCTCTCGTCGATATCGTCGCTATAACGACCAACGACAAACTTTCTACCGCAGGTTCCACGTCGAAATTGTACCTACGCTCGATCTACCTGATCCGCATACTGGAGAGGTGCCGGAACTTGCACACGCTCAATATATTAGGTAGCAGAGTTCGTGGCCAGAAGATCTATCGATTGCTAGCCAACAAGGGTCCCAGGCTGAGGTCCGTGTACGCGCCGGCGACGAGATCGCAGTTCTGTACGTTCATCAAACACGTCAGCCAAATCAGCGAGACCGATCGGGAGACGATCTACTCGATGAACGTCCGCGTGCGCAAGAGTTGGTCGCCCTTGTACTACTTCGTCACGAAGCGGGCGGATCACGTGTCCACGGCCCTGATCAGCTATCTCCACAACGACATCCTGCTGATCGACTCGAACCGACCGATTCACAAGCTCTCCATCACCGAACGAAGAGACACCTGACCAAAAGGGCGACCGACGACGCCAACACTTTCACCCCTTTAAAAAAAATTCACACGATGGTTGTACATATAGTATAAACTGTATATTAACACGATTCTGTTCCAGAAAACGTCGTACGTAACGCGCCGTGTCGCAACGTGCAAATACATATGTATATATGTCCATGTAGCGAGTACTGCATTTTTTTCTTGGCTCAATCGTTGCCTGATCTAGGCACTGTTAATCGCGGGAGGATCTATGTGGGTCGATCGGTGTGCGAACGCCAGTCACGAGGGCGAACTTCAACCGCTAAATCAAATGTAAAGCCCGTGCTTTGATACGAAGCTAATTACAGTAGTCTACGGATGTATAGTCATACTTTTCTCCGGACGTATGAAAGTCAGGCGTCCCCAGAAATTCTTGGCGAGCATCGAGTCTGCTTTTATGCAAAATCATATCTTCTGAACACGCTAGACTGACGATCCGATCGGTGGCTATACATCCGGAAACTACTCGATTACATTATGTGACGACATTCGATGACGAGTCAAAGGACGTATTTTCCTTTGAAAAAGAAAAAAAAAGTCTGGTGAACGATCGAAGGGCAGAAAAAGAAGGCACATTCATTCACGCGGGACGGAGTCAATTAAATTAAGCGAGTGGCGCAAGTCCCGTTAACGGGAATAGTTAGACTCCGTTTTCGACGGCCAATTAAAACTGAACTTTCCCCGAATCACGCGATCCTCGCCGTCTATGACGAACACGCGTCGATCGATATTCATTACGCGGACGCGGTATAACGAGTTCCGGTAAAATGCTGCCGATCTTGGTTCGTCGACCCGGAGTTTCCTGTTCTAGAATCATTTGCATAGAACTCGACAGGCCGGCCTGGCAGCCACGTTTTTAACATACGCGCCACGTCCTGGAGTCATATTTTACAGCTAATTTGCGAATCTTCCGGAACGTTTCCGCGACCCGACCTATGAAACGCTCAAGGACGGCAATTTCTTAACAGCTACGAAACATAAACGCGGTGTTCCGTTTATTAACAGAGCCCGGAGAATACTCGATCGAACCGTGAAGCAATCACTCCCACGTTACTCTTGGGACGCTAGTAAAAGTCTCGGTCTTTCGTTCGCAGTTCTACCGTATAACATACAGAATATCACGTTTCTTAAGGATGTATTGGCTATACAGTCAATCCCAAAAGTTTATGTATCTTAGAAAAACGCATTTCCTATAATTAAAAAGAAATCAGACGTCGGAAGACTAATGCTAATAATAAATAGCTACGTGCTAAAAAGTATAGAAGGAAATATCCAATTAAGTATTGACGCTGACGAAAAATTTTTTTTTCAAAATTTCGAGAAATGCTTCAAATAAAAGTTGTTTTCCTTCTAACTTCGATATTTAACGAGTTACGTATGATTATTTGGCATTTTATTGATGTTGACAAAATCCGACCATCCCAGCGTCGAAACGGCGAACTTCTGGAAAAAATTTTCGTTTTTCCTCAATAACTCCTAAACCCTTGGACATACGGGAAAATTGCATAGGACCTTTCTTGTAGAGGACGGCGAGATCTACAATTTCTGTATAAAAGTTTTTCGCTACCATTAATAGTTTACGAGTTATTGACGAAAAACGAAAAAACAGTTTTTTGCAAATTACTAGTTAACTATTGNAATATAAGTAATAATGTAATAGTTAATACTTTAAACGCGTTTTTCTCGAAATGGTATGTTTCAAATTTGCTGACACTATAACTCACTTTACACTGTTCATTTATAGGCAAATACATGCATAAAGTTTAAAAACATGGTTCGATAGAATACTCTTTTTAAAAAAAATTTCCCAAAAAGAATTAAATTTTGGGCTGTTACACTAGTATAGCTCCTTAAATGTACATGTATAAGTAGTATCTGTACAGAACGATTGGCTGGTCAAGTGTTGCGGCTGGTCTTAAACCCGCAGTATTTCTATCGTGGTCGGGGCAGAGAAGAGGAGGAGAGAGGCGTATCGATTAGACTGGTTTTCGATTTCCGGCGTGCAGACGGGAATGGTCGAAGCGTGCGAAGAAGCGCGGATCCGGAAGTGGTTGGAATGCTATACTTTCCATGGATTTTCTCTCGTTATCTATGCGGCTGCACACGCTTCGAATTCCTTAACGAGTCTCGGTTCGTTTCATAGAAAGGAGATTCGCAGTTATACACAGTAACGACTCTCGTTAATGTTCGGATAGAGTAACTCTTTTAATGAGAAACCGATCGATTTAAAAAATTGTCTGATCAAGGATGATCTCCAGTGTGTATGAAATCCAGGTTGATACATTTAATCCCCGAGTATTGTGCCTCTTCTCGTGACAAACGTAAATCCCCGTGTAATGCCCGGTTGATCCGTGAGTCTTGCTCGTTCCTCGCGCTCCAATAAATTCGGATCCAGCGAGATCCCGTGGCAACTTTCAGGGTAAAGTAAATAAGAAAGGGAACGTAGGTCGAGCGTGAGCATGTTCACGGATCGATAAAGGTGTGACCCAAAAATTTACGCTTCCGAAGGGAAACGCGCGTTTCGAGCCGGTGCGGCAATTAGCGACCGGAGGGTACACGATTGAGTTACCGTGCTCGGTAATGACGTGATAACGCGCGGAGAGGTGAGACACGGATCGTTGAAAGAACGAGTGAGCAAGCTTTTTTTGCGGAATAAAAATCCGCAGGGTACCTGCCGACGTCGAACGCCTTGGAACACGTATCACCGGGCTTTTTAGGGCATGTCCTTTTTGGTTCGCCGCCTGCCAGGTCTGCTGCAATGCGCTCTGACCATTGAAAAAGCCGACGAGCTCAATTGGCAAAAAAATAAGCGGTGCAGAAGCAATTGGCAAACCGAGGAGCTCATTTGGAACGCAGAATGAAATTATACGATCGGTAGTACAGCCATTTTTATCGAAACCCTACGAGATCATCGTCAACGTTAAAAACGACATAGAACGTGACACGACGAGGAGAAGGAACTCCTTGAATTATGTAAGAAGATGAAATTGTACCGAAGTCGATGATAATTCGTTTGTAACAGAATCTTGAGCGAGCAGGTGTAATTACATCGAAAACGATGGATCGACGACGGTGGTCAAGCCACAGGTGCCTGCGGCGAGCGAAATTAATCAACTCGTTGAACGACGCGACGTGTTCGTGCCTTCGAGTCAACACACTAGACAAATTTATCAGAGATCAGCCGCGCGGTCCTTAAGAGCTGGCCGATGGACTGGAACGATCGTTACTCGATTCCCGAGTATCGAACCGGCAATCATTTCCGGCACGAATATGTTCACGTAAAAATGCCAGCGCTCCTCGATTAGAAGGCACGGCTCGTTGCAAAGACTTTCGATCTAATCGGCTGCGATTCTGTCGTAATTTCAGCTGCCATTAAATATGAATCATCGATTTCCTATGGCCGAGTATAAATAGAGCCAAATCGTCGGCTTTGACACTTTTTACCAAAGCAATTGCTGGATGACTAACGATCACCATTCAATCATTGTCGGATCAATTACGAAGATAATTTCACAGGCTCCTGCACAATGAATACGCCGTACAGCACGGGCCATTATGCCAGTCGTAGAAGAATACCGGTTAGGGCTTATCTAGACGAGATTCACAGGCCAATTACTCCGGTCAGAAAGTAGAAAGATAAAAGAAATTGGTTCTGTACCTTGACTCGTCTGGCCGGCTCCTTTCACGGGCGCAACGTGCCATCGATCACGGGCGAGAACGGCCGGAATCGCGATCGCTCGCGGCTCCGCTTTCGAGCTTACGGGTTATCTATGCAAATGCGGTGCATCCTGATCACGGCATGCCGCGCGATATAGATGTAATCCTCCCACTCGTCACGAGACCGCCAACAGGTATTTCCGATAGTTCCTTCGTCGAATAACAAAGCGTTCTGGAAACGGGGAACCGTGTAAACGGCCTTTGCCGGCCGGCCACCTCGAATGCCCCGGAAGTGGCCAACGGTACCCCCCGGCTTCTCGTTGCATCATCGATCCGGTGACACCGACCGAATTATGCTACTCACGCGACCGGTTAAGGCAGCGGTCGTGCGACGATGGTAAGAAAATTAATTTTTGACGACTTAAGGATGTATTGACTATACAGTCAATCCCAAAAGTTGATGTACCTTAGAAAAACGTATTTTCTATAATTAAAAAGAAATCAGACATCGGGAG